ACCACTGCTGAGACTTTGCACAGCTTTATAAAACATAGTTAAATCTCCTTTTCATCCAAAATCCACTTTTATTTACCAAATTGTACATTCCATCTTACTGACTTTAAATAGTTTGGATACAAATTAAATGTATTTTTAACAAACTATTTGGGTAAACAGATGAATTTGTTCGAAGACCAATTAAAGTTAATCTGTCACTGAGTGCTTTACATTTTCACGCCTCGTTTTTTCTTGGTTGCAGGCTTGAAGAATGACAACAATTAGTCAGCTTACTGTATGCTACGCATGCTAACAAACTCATAAGCACGCATGTTGCTTTTCACTAATAATTGCTTTGTTTCCCAGAAAAACTCCCCCCAGGAATTTCCCAGGGCCCCTCGTTGTGAGCTAGCAATACTCTAATTCTGATTTGTGTTACCCAATTATGCTCCGCCTCCCACAGGGACACAGGGATAAGGTATTATAGTGTAAGTCACATTTCATCCTTTATAGAAGTGACCTGTCTTGGAAACCAAACACAGCAAAGCTATTATGTTCACAGCGGAGGGTCCTATAACTCAGCCGTGGCCGGACACATGGAGGTCTAATCATTGGCTGCAGGCCTTTGAGGGGCATCCTACTGTTAGGGCCTCAGTGATGGAAAGATCAACCGAGAGGAGAGGGAGGAGAGAGAGGGTCGGCACTGTTCACTATTCTTTGCAGCGAGGCAGTTAGCGGGGCATCGCCTCATTGCCGTAGTAACCATTTGGTCCGCCTGACAGGGGTTGCCAAGGCAATAAGACAAAGGGCATGATTGTTGGAACTAGTTTCCTCCCTTGAAAAGAGCGAGAGAGTGTTAAAGAGGGAGTGAGAGGGAGAGAGAGAGAGAGAGAGAGAGAGAGAGAGAGAGAGAGAGAGAGAGAGAGAGAGAGAGAGAGAGAGAGAGAGTAAGTCTTTGTCACTGGTGAAGTTGGAGATAGACACAGGATCCAGTTATTCTACCAAAGCTGGACTTGTCGGGTAAACTGGCTCCATGGTACGATCATAAAATGATTTAATTAAAATCATACTTAATAAAACCAAAATCACCAAATACATTTTGACATCCCTTTATCCCTGAAATGAACTCATCCAAAGCTTCCACACTGAAGACAAAAGCAAGCCCTGCCCTATTCACCAGTCCTGAACAAAACTTGATATCATCACACTTAACCTACATGCCCACTTCTTACACACCTACAATGGACCCTCCAGGCTCCTTTGAGCTGGAGATGGGGGCCCAATAGAGAGCACAACCCATTAACGAATCAATTGTGCCACCTGCCCTTGGAACACAAGGACAAGAAAAAACTTCAGCGACTAATTTAACCTGGATTAACTTTGCTTTGAGTTTTGATTCGTTTTTGAAGAGACACACGAAAAAGATGAATTGAAAGGACCCAGTTAGGGTTTTGTTTGCTTGTAAATACACTGCGAGAACATTTTAAATCAAATTTCACTTGTTTTGTTGCTGTCAGAAAGATAGCACAGTCTCAGTAAAGATTTCTTATCCTCTTAACTCTGGATAGCTAACAAATGTTTGAGCTTACCTGTGAATAGGAGGAGGAGGAGGCCAAAGAGGGTCAGTAGCAGAGGAATGTCAGTTAAACTGTCGCCGTTAGAGGAGGTCTTCCTCTCTACCTTCATCTTGTGTCCTGGGCAGAGTCTTTCTCCCACTCAGTGTGCATGGTTTATCCACTCTGGGCACGTCTCTGCGGCTCAACTCTCTCCACTGCCTGCCTGCCGCTCTGGCCTCTGCCTGGTCGCACTGAGCCCCACTCTCTTCACAGCACCCCAGTCACAGCCAACAACAGCCAACTGTGTGTGTGTGTGTGTGTGTGTGTGTGTGTGTGTGTGTGTGTGTGTGTGTGTGTGTGTGTGTGTGTGTGTGTGTGTGTGTGTGGTGTGTGTGTGTGTGTGTGTGTGTGTGTGTGTGTGTGTGTGTGTGTGTGTGTGTGTGTGTGTGTGTGTGTAAGTGAGACAGAGACATAGTGTAGATGAGCTCCTCTCTTCCACTCCATGTTGCCCTTTCAGAAAGGAGCTCAAAGAATATACTGTTTGCTTTTTTGGGGGCAATTATGTACATATTAAAGTGATTGTTTTTTTTAAAAAGTTTCTCAAAGCAGCTTAAGGCTAGGAACTGTCTTTTTAAAATAGTTTTTCAATACTAATAATATTGAGTAACTTAGCAAGAATTTCTGCTGGAAAAAACGACTACGCTTCAGCTCTGAGAGGAGCCCACTTAAAGCTCTGCAATGTCAGAGTCTGAATAACAACTCACTTCCCCCCTCTTTGACCCACTTTTGTCACATTGTGCAAACTCCTCTGTGGACCGGAGCCTCACAATAAACGCACAATTTGTCACTTGGCAACCAACCCTTCTGTCGAACCACCCAAGCACATGCAACCTTGAAGCGTTTTGCTGCTAGATGCAGAGTACCTGTCAGGTTCATGATCAATGTATGGTACTATACCTGGAGCTGAAAGCTACATAATAAGAAGAGTAACCAATTCAAATTCTAAACAATTGTAATACCTTATTTGTCCTCTAGGTGGTGTAGAAGGTTGTGAACTGAAGAAGGCAATGCTTAAAGAAAACAGCCATCACATGTTTTGACATCGAGGTTGGGGCTTTTTCGCAACAGTATTTTTTATTGTTTTCCCCCTGACATTAACATCCAACATGCATGTGGAAAACTGAAAATAAAGTCAAGCACATTTGTCAAAAGAAAATATCAGAATATCCTCAATAGGAGAAGACGCTCAATTTAAAACAATGTCTACGAAAAGATAAAAATGCAATAATTAGAATTATACATTCATTCATTGCCTTGATCTCCTGAAAGACAACATACCGTTTAATTTTGTGTAAATAACTATATCAAACATGATGCTGTGTATACAATCCCAATATGCCACTTTGTGTTGGCTTTTTAGGATTTAATGTATGAAAAAGTGTGCACTGATGAGTCAATTGCATTACAATACATCTTTCCCACTTTAGGAAAGCAGTCTTTTGTTTAGTTATTTTTTGGAGCATTTTGTTTGCCCACAAAGGGAGGTTTTATGCAGAGGAGGAAACATGTTTGACAGAAAGCTGCAGGAATGTGGGAACAGCTGCTGTTCGCTACCCCTCTCCATGGGCTCAGACTGCTGTGTAGTAGGCCATCAAAGCTGAACCTCTCCCCTCCACCTCTGCCCTTCATAAAAGCAGCACCACCCTCTTCCTCTCATCTTCTAACACACTCTAAATCAAGGGGTCTCTTTCCACTCAATACAGAAAAATAGCAGGCGCATACACAGGGGGCCTGTGTGTCTCAGTCAGTTTGGGTGCTTGGGTTATGACAGAAACCATTTAGGCCACAACAAAAATGATGTCATCCTGTGTGACTCAGACATAAAGATTTGACAAAATACATCTTAATAATGTGATACACCGTGTTGCTGATACCACATGCCTTGTGATTCCTTTTTTGTGAGTAACAGATGGTGACGAATGTGTAGGTGTTGTTCATGCAGCTGTGGCATTAAAGTCGCCTCATTACCGCTAAGTTGTGTAACCTACTTGACATTTTAGATACTGTTTCTTCTAAGACGGTGAGGCTGATGGCATAACCACTGGAAAGCAGATATAATTGTGCCTCCTGCTTATTCATCTCTAATTATCACCCGGGAGACGAGAAAGATCTTTCCTCTGACAAGATGTCTGAGAAGGAACACAACATATCCAAGCTGATCCTTCACATGATCTACTCCTAAAATAGTCCACGATCAGCTTGACAATTTGTCTCAGGGAGTATTCTTTTCTTTTCTGTCTAAGGCTGCACTTTTCAAACTCACACTTGGTCAGATGACCCACATGACGATGAATTAAGTCACTAACCAACACGATTTCAGGCTTTTTTGGTATTATGGTCGTTCTCCTGACTTGCAGAAATCAATCAAGTGGGCGCTGTGCTATGTTTGGAGGTGTGCAGAATATTGATTGTTCACCCACAGTCATTAAAGAGACAGCAGAACGTGGCCATGGCACCTCTGAGACTGAGTAGGATAAAAGAGAGAAGCAGTCCATATAAAACCCATAGAGGATGTTCATGAGAGCGCGGCGGAGGAGGAATGTCAGCCTGAGATGGAAATGCTTTGCAAAACCACTGAGAGCAAGTGTCATGTTGGTTGTCCTATCTCTACAGCTGGTGACACAAGGCCTGTGTATGTCGGTGTATGTGTGTGTGTGTGCGTGTCTGTGTGTGCAAACGAGAGAGAATGAGTGACTTGAGTGGGATCTGCATACTAAAGTGCGGGTTGTGAGGATACATTCGCAGTTTGAGTTTGTGCAGAGCGCTGTGCGGCTCAGATGTGTGTAGGTGGGCTGTGTGGGAGCACTGGGAGACTGAAGATGCTCAAGTCTGTTTCTCATAAAGTGGGCAAGATTGCCTGGGCATATGAAGCAACATTTTTCTTGTTTCAGCCTTATTGCAATAAAGTTAAACCACAGAAGTATTGCAAAAATATTAGGTGCAAACATCACCCAGTGTGGTTACTGTCTATAACAATGCACTTGTTGATAAGACACATTTTAGAAATTAATGCTTTCAAGGCTCTGCAACTGTGTACAATCGAATTATTTGAATGGCCCCTTACATAGCTATTATTATGAGTAAATCCCAATTAATGTTTAGGGTAATTGGCAGTTGTGAAATGAGAAATGAACAAATGTATGATATTAATTATTCATGAGATTTCATGCACAAGAGAAGGCACGGGAGAACATACATTATTTTAGCTGGATGGAAACTGCTCTATCCAATTAGCCTTGCTTACCATATGCTGCTGTGACAAATGAAAATGTAGCGGCATTGTGTAATGTACAAAAAAATTCAATTTGACCGTGTAAAAATTGAGATTGAGGTGACAGACGACATAAAAATAGTGTTTGAAAGGAAGAAATAGTTAACCTCTGCTTATGAAGTTCAAAACAGACATTTCATTGTATATTTATGGTCGATTTATTAGTGTAATGACATGACTCTACAGCAATTTCATCAAGGTACTATTTAACTAGTTTTAAAGCATGGCGGAAAACTTTGATAGTGAATGTCACACACCTGATACGTCAAACAGCTAATCTACTCACACAACAATGGAGCATATTGAAGCAATGTCTGATAACTTAAAGCTGTACCAAATACACCTGGGAATATTTTTGTTTTGTTTTAATGCATGCTTAATGTTCCGGAAGTACTGATTCTTAGAATATGCTTTAAAAAGTGAAAAGAAAATCAATTTTAATGTGATATAAAGAGAAAATAATTGAGATGCAATGTGAATAAAGTGACATTAAATAAATAGATCATACATAGCTACTTCTCTTTAGATGTTTTAATCATTTTTGTAAGCAAGTCAAATAGGTGAATAATAGTCAAGATACAAGCACAACATAAACAAAGCATAAGAGCAAATAATTTAAGCCACTACAATGTCTAAAGCTGATGCACACAAAGTCTTTACACAGATGGTATGAACTGATCCATCCGATATAAGCCGTGTTTAGCATTTAGAGGACATTCATTTTCACATTCACAGATCATCAATCTAAAAACTAGCACACTACCAGAAGTTTCACAAGTACATGCAGTGAGTTGCAAATTCTGGGTCAAAGACATCCGTACTGATGATACTGCTGAAGAAGCAGAGAAGGCGTGTTAAAGTTCACGAAATTCACATATCACACCCTACAAACTGCGGGTTCATTTTCTACTGCTAATTTGTGTTGAAAAATAAAATGACTCCTGAGGTAAAAAGATGTGCCAGCCAGCGTACGCCAGCCATCTCTCTTCCTCTCTTCCTCTTCATCCAGGTCAGGACAGGGGCGTCACTGCTCTGGCACAGATGTGTCGTCTCTTACTGCCCCCGATCCTCCTGTCTCTAAAAACAGAAACAGACAAGGCCTAGTTAAAACACTGCAGAGCCTGGGGGAAAAAAAGCTTTTATATACGCTCTGTTATTAAGGTTAAAGGCTCTAATGCACAACCACAGACTGTAAGGTTACTTGTGGGTGGATATATTTAAAAAGCACACTTGAAGAAAACGTTATATTGAGTTGCTAGGAGGTTTTTCAAAACGAGAAATCTATTTGTAGAATTGATTTCTAAGTTTTGAGTATTGTGCAATGCTGATAACTTGGCCGACATATTTGAAAAGCTCAAGGCCCAGTTCTGTTGTGAAGGAGGTCTTCCCCAATGGGAGGCAATGCATGGTTTCGGTACGACAGGTCCATTAATTCTGCCTGGCTCTATGAATCATATACTGTACCTAGAGCACCTGGCGCTATAAATAAATCTCTAACTGGGTTAGGGAGAATCATTGACGAGAATCTCTTGTGTCAGCCACGTCCTCAAAGAAAATGCTGCTTTGTCTTATAGGCAAAGGGGACATTTTTAGGGCTGGGAGTCTAAAACGTTGTCTTACTTCTCAAAAGATCTGGTAAACATGTTACTTTAGTGGATATCTGAAGAAAGTGTGTTCTGATTGAAATGATACTATGATGATGATTTTTTTTTAGATAAAAATAAAGCCTAAAATCTTATCTTAGTGCAATCTTTGCTGGCGTTGAAACAGTACAGCAAAACATCATCAACTGAATTCTGAAAGCATTTTCATGTCCATGTATAACTAGGAAAACCTGTTTAATATTGTGAGGATGTAACTTGTTATATTTCACGTGAACCGAACTCTGACAAACATCTTTTCTCTGTAGTGATCTAACAGCTCACCTTCAAGCCGATTCATTTATAACCCTCTTTAACAGAATCTTTAATTGAGAGATTCAATCATCTATTGCTGGAGACTATATGGGTAATTAAATGAGTCACTCTGTTATGTATTTCATTAATCACACTTGGGGTAACCCATAAGGGGCTTAATCATTTATAGCTTTTAAATGGTTTCTTCTCCAAGAGTGAATAATAGATAATCAGTTCGTGCTCCTGCCTAATGTGTTCGGCTGTGAGAAAAAGCTAGATTCCCAAAAATTCTTAAAATGCATCTCAGGTAAAATGCTCAACTATAAAATGCACAACATCAAATCGTGTGAACTTATTCATCTTACGTATAATATTTGAACTCTAAGTCTAAGTCTACAAGCAACTTGCTGTTTCGCTTACCTTTCTTCACTTTAGTTACAGCTCCTGATGGGAGCCTCTGTTACCATCCTTATAGTCACTAGCCATAATGCCCTCTTTAATGGCATTATGTGTCCTACTCTTACCCCTTGGTTCTACACCACTGACCTGTGTCCCCCTGGCTGCAGTTCAGCACATCCCCAGTGCTGCTCACCTCCTCCCCTTCCGCTTTGTCCTCCGGCTTCATCTTCTTACGGGTCATGTGCCCACGGAAGCCAGCCTGGATCTTGGCAGCAGCCCTGTTGGCCTCAGGGTCATCCAGGGGGATGTCCATGATGTCCTCCTCCTCCTGGGGCCGGCTGCAATCCTCCTGCAGAGAGGAACAGAAAGAAGTAGGCTATCACAGAAGGGGGGCCATATTAAATGATCGTATAAACATGTTGTTTTTTCCTAGAATATTGGTGGAAGAATCTAACACTCAACAGATTGCAATACCATATTTTGTTAACTGTACACGCCACGATGCTATCTTTTAGACAGCAAGTGAAGTGCGCTTGTTGCCGAGTGGCTCATCCTTATTACATGACTTTGACAGGGCTCTTAGGAGGTCGCTAAACAACTTTCCTTCAATTTTTCATAACCCTTCTCCGCTTGTGATGTAATACACTGATGTAGTAGTCAACCTATTTTGTATTCTTTGTACATACGCCGGCAGAAAAAGCAGGCATATGGACTCCCAAATTGAGAAACAGTTCTTGTTTATAAAACAATTGATCATTACACGAAAAAACTGCTTTTTTTTGTTAGGGAACAATTATGATGTGAAAGATTGCATCCTGTTTGATGATTGATTTATAACTTATTGTTCTAATTTCAATTAGATCATAGGTATGGTTAAAAAAGCATTTTAGTCAAGAGAAAAACACCTAGTTTTCTGCAACCCAGGCGGAAAAGGGACAACCCATCTAGAAATGCAGCTGTTAACACCAGCAGCATATTCAGTGACTGGAAGTACAGCATCCACTGTCCCGAAGGAAACATGGGGTAGGCGGAAGAGAAACTCTGGCTTGTCATAAAGTGTCAGTGGAACAGCACCAAGGCTGTCAACAAGTTATGTAAACACCAATTGGAAATTTGCAGAGAACACATAAATGCTACACCCCTTGCTTTGAGGTATAGAAACAGATTGACATTTCACACAAAGACAGCCCACAAAACAAGCCCACTGTCATCCCACTGCCTTGGTAAAGCAATGCATCATGTCTCCAGTGAAACCCCTCCAGTGTAGGAGTGTGACCACCCACCTGTTCAGCCAGCATTCATTAGCCTCTCTGTCTGACTGCTCACTGCCAGAATACAGTTGTTGTTTTTTTTGCAGTGCTGGTGCACCGCAATTCGCTAGATAAACACCTTGTCCGAGGTCTTTTTTTTTTTTGCCTCCTTAGATCTGACACAAATTGATTTTAAATATCCTGACACAAATCTCATGTTATATTATCCACATAAAAAAAGGTTTAAAGCTGTGTACAATATATTATGAGGTCAATTTTCTTAAAAGAATATATCCTGTGTGGTTAACATAATATACTGCTTTTAATTTATCAATATACTGTAATTTACTCAAGTTGAAGGAAAATAGAAGTTTAAGGACAGCCAAACAATATGCAGTTTAAGGACAGCTAAGTACCATCTGTAACCAACTGTATTACCCAAATAACCAAACCGATGAGATTTTACAAATGGAAAAAAAAAAATTCTATTAAAAAGTTAATGTGAAGCTTCTACTTACATTGTGACAGTCCATGTTTGACTCTCAGTGACGACTTCAGTCTTCAGGTGAGCTGACCTAATATGACTTATATGCCTTGATTTTTCTATGTGGACCAAGCAAAGCTCTTTTTAAATGAGTCTCCGGTATAATACAGATGCCTCACTGGCTCTTAGTAACAATCACTGTATGTTCAGTAACACCAGCTCATGCACAGAGTGAGAGAGGGACATTCAGTCAGAGAGAGGGAAGAGAGAAAGAGGGAGGACGGGAGGGAGGGAAAAGAGAGACCTCCTACAAACATGACAGCATGTGTTCCATCCTTTAGTCCCATTAAGGCTGCTGACCTACTGTGTTCACATTACTGAGCACAGCCTAAATACTTAGAAAGAACAGTACATGATACAGGCTAAATATGCGGACTAGTGATTTAAAGTTAAACAATTTGGAAAAAAGTAAAAGTGAAGAGCTGTTACAGCCTGGATACGACAAAAATAACTACCACATAAACTGAGCGTCATGCAAATTCACAAGTTGCAGTGTTACAACATTAAACTCCACAAATAAAAACAGATGACCAACTTAGAAATACTATGTGAAAGCCAGATGGTCATTAAACAATAATCGCTGACTTTCAAATTTGACTAATAGCGTGAAAATAAAACCGTGTAAGCATCTTGGACTGTTTTGCACTAGGAGGTGTTATACATTTATTAGAGGCAGAGTGAGCTAACAACCCTCTCCATCCCTCTGATCCCAGCTGGTACGGCCGCCCACACTCCTCTGCCAGCCTCAGAGACAAGACGGAGAGGGAGAGGAACAGAACACATCCATTTATCGGAGTTATATCTCTGACATTAATGCTCTTCTGCTGGTTTTGTAACCATTCAAACAATATGTTCTCCTCACGCCTCATTTCACAAAGCTGTCTTTTTTATTAATCAATTCACTGTTAATTTGAAGGAACACTCACCAATGTGTAATTATGTTCACTGCAATAAATCATCGTTAATCTACTCGTATTAAAAGAAAAACCACAGTATTTATTCTCCTAAAATGATTAAAGTATAGGATGTTGGTACTTGTAAACAGTGACATAAATGCATATAAATTGAAGTAAAAGGACTATATATTCAACTGAGATGATATCAATGTATAGAATGTACATTTTTGTGGTAGATTAAACTGGAATTACTTCTGCCACTAAACAGGATTATACAGAATAGCATTGTTCTGTATGTAGAAACACAGAAACTGATGTTTTTACTGTTTAATCAAAGACTGCTATTAAAGGGTAGATTACTGATACAGATGGTGCCTAGCAACTATCAGCATCACCATCTCCTATTAAATCCATGACGACACTAACAGAGTGCAGGATGGTGAGGGGTTACCATGGTAACACTCTTAGTAGACCTTCCTACACTGCCCTCGCTGTGCATTTGGAGCCTCGTTGGTCCAGACAAATCAGACAGGGCCAATAACTGTGACAGCAGTAACAAATATTAAAGGGCCTTAATTCACAAGACAACTTGTCCAGTCGCTCTTTAATGATGACAGATCACTGAATCAAGATTCAATCTGTGGGAGCTGTGGTAGCTCCCGAGAGTAGAGTGGATCCGGCACTAACAACGCCACATTACAGTTTTATGAGCATGCAGCAAAGCAATGGCCCAGAACAGCTTCTGTAAAACGCACTCACATAAACAAAGACACCGATTTTTGGGCGAAAACCAAAGCTACCATTTCTGCATAATTCAGTTTACATGATTTTCATTGTGACCCTTGAGATTCAATTTAAAGTTTGTTAGAACAACCACCATCTAGAAAATGAACTATTTTGGGGATATGTTCAATCAACCAACCCTGGAGAGTCCAAGGGGAAAAAAAACGAGGGCCACTGTAGATCAGACCCGTCCTTGAAGGGTTTATTTATATATACAGTAGGCTACCTGAGACAGGAATGGGAGCAGAGCAGACTTAAAGCCACCTCAATCTGAAACTGTGTGAACATTTATCCTCATCCTGCTGATACAATTGGAGGAGATGTGATGAGTTGCAGATGCCTCTTTCAAAATTCAAATCATACAAGTTATGGGCCTACAAATCAGGGCCATTTTCTCATTGCAAAACATGTTCATCTATAACGTTAAAGCACATAAAGATATGATGCATCACTCATGTATATATTCTGTATTAAGAAGAAGCTTTACCTTTTCACTGCTCTTGCCTTCAGGCTCTGTGGAGTCCTTTTCAGAAGCAAGTGGCACTTCGTCTTCTGCAGCTGGCAGATCTGCACTTGGAGTGGGGCCGCTGCTGGCCTCTTCACACAATGTGTCACTCTTCCCTTGTATTTCAGAATCAACTTCTTCTTCTAAAAGTCCCATTACATCTGGACCTTTCTCCGTTGATGTGAGATCTGTTTCCCCCACAGTATCCTGTAGCTGTGAGTCTACAGGTGTTCTCCGACTCTCCTCCTTCTCCTCTGGTAGATGTGTACTTGCCTCTAAAGTTTCCCTCTCGGCCTCTATTCCAGCAGTTGATATATTTTCCCGTGTAACTTGTGATGAGTGATTTTCCGCTCCACCAGCATTTGTTTCTTGAATCTCCACGTCTCCATAACCTTCTGCAAGTCCGTCCTCTTTTTTGCCTCCATCCGTGTCTGTTGTCTCGTCCTCAGCGTCGTTTGAATTTTCATCTTTTTCAGAACCCTCATTCTGGTGAAATTCACCTTCACTTATCTCTCCTGCTTTCTCATTATCTTCATTTTCATGATCCATTTCATTCTCTGAGTTCACTTCATCGATGGTGGGCTGATGTGATGAGCTGATAGTTTTAACACCTTCGTGCTTACCATCAACACCACTATTATTTAAATTAGAATCATTTGTGTCTACCTTCTTGCTCATTATATCAGATTCCCTGTGCTGTCTTTCCATTTCCTCCCCTTCACACTTTGTTTCCTCTACAACTCCCATCATTGCAGGTTCATTGTGGTCTTGTGTTTGAGATATATTTTGCTCTGTTTCCACTGCAGTTACCTCTTTGCACTCTTCCTCCAGTTGCATTTCTAAAAACTTAGTCTGTAAGACATCTACTGAGCTGTCTCCTGGCTGTTTCTCCTCAACCTCTTTAATCTGCTGACCCTCTGGAACATCTTCAAAGTTAACCTCAACCAAAGAATCCTCATTTGTTATAGCCTTACTGACAGAAACTCCCTCTATATGAGTTAAACTTTCATGTATAACGCCAGACGAAGACTCAGATGATGAAGCTACCTCTTCTGTTTTTTCTACTTGGTCCTCTCCTCCTTGCTGATTGTGTTCTAGGGTTTCAGAGTGAGACAATAATGATTGTACAGTATTCTCCTCAGGTTGGGGTCTTGAGCTTTCCTCATCATTTTCAGCAGTGGCTCCTTCCATTGTTCTCTCTGTTCCTCCAAGCTCTGTAGCACACACATCCACATCAGCTAGCCCAGAATATGAAAATACTTCCACTGGTTCTTCTGCGTCAGTATTAAGATCTCCTTCCGGATCTATAATCTCCATATCTACAACTGAATTATTTTGTTCATTATCTCCACGTTCTTTTTCCGGTTCTAACTCCTGGGAACACACATTTGAAATGACTTTCAATGATAACAAGTCGGTGGGCTCTAACTCAGACTGAGTATTATCTTGGTCTGGAACAGAGATGCTATCTTTTCCATTAGCTGCCCTGCCAACTTGATCAAATGTAGTTATTGTTTGGTCTTTCTCCTCCTCTGTCCCACTCAGATCATCCGGCTGTAGGTCTGTAGCTGGGAGCATGTTTACTGATTCCTCCTCTGAGAGTCCTTCTGCCATTGAAATAACATTTTTCTCTGTAATATCCAGTTTTTCTTCATATTCTTCCGTACTTTCACTTGAATCAACCTCTTCAGAGACAGTAGGATGTGTTGTGGAAACATTAGAGACTTCTTCTGTATGGCTTGATTCATCTTCAGTTTGGGATTCATAGGATTTTTCTCTAAAAAGTATCAATCAAAATGAAAGACTTGAGGTGAAATATTGGAAAAACTGGAAAATAGTGATGTACTGTAGCCTAGGTAATCCTTCCTCAAAACAAAAATCAAAATGCCTGATTGACTGTCTTCCTGCAGCTGGTGGCTGCTTATCTTTCAGTCCTGACCTTTCTTCTCACCCTCGACACTTTAAACCTGGAAGAACTTGAGCTGACATTTCGTGCTGGTTCAATTAATTCTCAAGGAATTATCATAAACTAATCTATTTTCATAAACAAATCTAAATGTAGGATTATGATTTCAAACATTTTAAAACGTTCATCAGGTTGGACAAAGCAGGTGGAGCTGTTGGCTTGCGTTTTCCTTTCCTTTCCACAATTTCCCTTTTTGCAGTATTGATTTGATGTAATTCTATTTCCTCATTTTCTAATAAGGACAACAAACTAGCAACCATATTCAGAAAAAAACTCACACAAAAACTCAAGATATAACGATTAAAAATGAAAAATATATTATTTGTTTCTCCGCTGTCACTTTCTTTTCTTTCCCTCATGTCCATCCTCTCCCTCTCCTGTTGATCCGCCTGCCAGTTATAGCGTATAAGCAGAGACTCACTTGGAAATGGTCATCTTTGCTGAAGGCTCTTTTTCAGGACTAGGCTGTTGGGAAAACGAAAAACAAAACAAAGGTGTCATGGTGAATAAAATGAGACAACAGAGGAAATATGTTATAGGGATGGTATGGCAGTGACTTTGAGTTAGTACCCCAGTAGCCTTGAATGCATGGTTGTTGTAGAATCTATCTTCCAGTTTAGCAGCCCACTCAGCTGGGTCGATGCCACTATCTACAAGCAAACACATTATCCATTATTCCTTTTATATTCATTCATTAATGTGATGTTCATTTGATAGGAAATAAATATAATATACATAGAAAATTGCATACCAATTATCCAATGCACTTTATCTCAACATTTAGAGTCACTGCCTATGTGAACTTGCACTAATTGTATTGGTTTTTTCATTTGTTTTATTTATTGTTTAATTTTTTAGTAACCTGTTACCCAAGTGTATTCTATTCTACACTGTAGCTGTGTATATGGCATTAAAGCCTTTACATATTGAATCTAATGTGTGCCTCTATATTTGGCCTTTAAAATAAGAAACACAAAATTACACAGCTAAACTATGATGTATATTTTGTGGATTACAGTAGTACCAATTGTAAAGTTGCCGTTACCTTCTCTTTGTGTGAGTAGAGTATCGAAGTACTGTGCAGCATATTTAGGGATGTCTTCCGGCTGATCTCGCAGGACTTCTCTGGCCAGCCCCTCCAAGATGGTGCCGAATCCTCGCGGGACCCGCAGGTGCGTGTTGGAGAAAGGTACTGACATGTTTTAGCATTCAGAGGGGAAAATAACTCCTATATCAGCTTGGGAAGACCTACAAGAGAAGTTAAAGTTGTTCTCAGTAATTCGTCTTCCTTCCTGGTGCTCAGCGTAGAAGACAAGAGAAGCTAGCGAACACTGGCAACTTTCCCCAAATTACAAGCTAACGTTCAAAGTAAGCTAAATTGTGCTAGATATTCGTCCCCATTTCGTCACTCACGCCACCTGAGTTGCAAAATGTCAAAGCGTTAGTCAAAGGTTCACCTGTTAACTGAAACGACATGCACTACGTATCCACCTTTACTTATCAATGTTTATAAAAACAGTTAGCTACTGGTGTGTTTTGTTTATAGTTGTTTCTAGGCAACTGTTGTTCCTACGGACACTGACGAGGCTCAAATGACCAAAAACACAGACCACGCACGCACATGTAGTTTTCGTTAAACTCATGTTTAATACAGTTGATTTAATTGAAAAGCTTTATTGGACATAAAGCATTGCATATGAAGCGTAGGCCTATACCAAAATATCAAAAAGAAGACGTGTGTTTTTCTTCTCCCTCTCTTCTTTCTGCAGACGCGACCCCAGTCAGGCATATGTGATGACTGCATATTCAGAGTTGGTGCTCATCTTGCGGCTGACCTCCCTTGGCTGAGGGACATGCAGTCTGTCAGCTGAACGCGAGGCCTGCAGGTGAGACCTTGGTTCATCTCCCCACCACTGTATATAGAGCAGAGAGATTGATTTAGCATGTTGTTGGGAATAGCAAACCTTCCCAAGTAGGCTCTAACAATATATAATTGATACAGATCTATACAACTGGTTGTGTTATGTGATGTGAAAGTAACACATTTAGTCAATGCAAACCCACTTGCTTTACTGCAAACAATGTGTTATTGCAATCTGCACACATGAACATCAATAATATAATTAAAGGTAACTAGCTTGGTACAATTTTAATAATACAAACATTCTGTGGCCAGTTTATAAGTAACACCGAGCTAACTAAAATAATACTAAACACCTTTGCAATAAATTACACCTTTTTTATGTACGTTGTAATCAGTTTTTGGAGAGGTGTTTATTAGTTTATGGTCCTTTCATTGGGTTATACTGAGAGTTGTTACTGATATTCAGTCAATGCAAGTTGACATAAATACCTAATAAACAGGAACAGACTGTAGCTTTATTAATACCATTCAGTATTTAAACAATCAAGATACACTTAAGACATTTTCAATTGTGATCAGAGTAGATGAAGTGAGATAAATGAGCAGACTCTAAATTTCTTAGTTTTTTTGGCAACCCAATGTGATTGATGCCTACTACGCACAGTAAATCCTTATTTTCCCTTATAATTTTCTGTCTATAAAGCATAGCCAGTAACTGCTCATACATTTAAGGTGATGTACTACATTTATTCATTGTGCGTCCTTGTAAAAACAAAAAGCAATAAACTATAAAAGAGAACCATCAGATAAGCATTATTAGGCTTTAGATTCATGTACAAGATCTACCGGTGCAGAGTTGGACTTGCTAATAAAACAGAGGAGAATAAGCTGTCTTAAAAATGAACTTTTCAGTAAGATAAAAAATGACAAGCATACTGTCTCATGAAGTCTCATTCCTCACCTCTTGTTGATCGCCAGGGGTCAAGTAGCCGACCTGAGTGAGCTCTGGTGTACTGACACCTCGGACAGCGATCGTTATGTCAGCATATGGGACCTCGTTGTCGCTCTCATTATCTTGGCCAAAGAAATAATGAAATATATCAGTCAGTATTTGTAATGCAGACATTGGTGTTGTCACATGAGTGGTGCTAATAATGATCAATCCTCTTACCTGGTGTGGGAATCCTTAAAGTCACTCTTTCACTTTTTGTTGACACTGTCCCTGTGAAATGTGACGGGTATGAATGGCAGGACTGCATTGAGACATTAAAATCTTTGTATTTAATTTTTAGATATAAAAGGTTACCCTTCACTGGCGAAGGGACAGCGTGAAGAGGAAGTGGTGAGCTTTAACAGAAACAAATACAAAATTAACTTAAAGAATTGAGCAATATCATATAAAGATATTTCCTTATATATTTATTTTATTTATTGAAACACAATCCAAATAGTCATTCTAAAATGTTTCTCACCCTGACCTGGACCCAACAGTCTCCCCTGGAATGTGTGACATTATGAAAACGATGATATAGACATAGATAATTATTTGGACATTTTAACTTTTTATAAAACATGTATGTTGATAGTTTAATCATTTTCAATCACCTTTATCAGTCCAGCACTGTCTGTTCTGATTCAGACACAGGAAAATGGCCAAAGCTGCAAGCACCGTGGCCACAGCAACGGTTACTATAGCTAACACCTTAATTCCAGTAAATTCCCCCAGCAAACCTTGAAAAATAATTGAATTATCTTGGAATGAGTGAATGTTGCTTTTAAGTTTCACACGCAGATGTACTTATTTACATAAAATAATAAACCGCTATCTAAAGTGCCTTCTTACCTCCACTTGAATCATTTTGGTCAGCAGGATTAGAGGCTAAGAAATGTAAAAAATGGTATACATAAATTAATGAAAGGTATTACAATATTGTAAAAATATTTAAGAATACATTTTAATTTAAAAGAAAATCCTCACCATTTCTAGTTGCAGTCTTTGGGGTAACTATCAGGTTTAGGACACTTGTTTTAGCTGTAAAAAAAAAAACAGTTTAAAAAAACGTTTTTCTTTGTTATGGTAAATGGTTGTTTTCTTAAAAAAAAAATCAACAACAAGATATATCTTATGTTGATTTTCATAAATAACCTTTTGGTTGCAGATCAACAAAGCGCACTGTTCTGTGTGGGACTTGAGGGTCATCTGAATGCTGTGTGTAGCAAATGTACTTCTTGCGATCTTTAGCAGTCACATTTGACAAATGAAGGGACGTTGTGCACAAACTGCTTTTGCTGGAATTTCCAAGACAGTCGACAAAGGCACCGGATTTAGATTTATTTGCTTCACTCCAACAGCCACGAACAAATCCAGTGGAGCAATTGTATGTACAGTTTAATGTTAGAGTGTGCCCCAATGCTACATCCACATATTCAAAAATTGACGTCAGATTAATACAGCTTGTAAAATCTGCAGAAAGAGAACATTTGATCACTGTTACACACAACACAAACAACATATTAACATTATATTAATACCATACCAACAATCTATAATTTTTGTGTTGCATTTAACACACATGAAAGTGTATATGACAAAAAGTAGGCCTATAAATACCTTGTGTCACCAAAAAAACGAGCAAAGCGAAGTGGATTGAGATCGTCATTGTTGTTCCGATTCCTGCTGCCTCAAAACATACAATCAAATATCTTGTGTGCCCGTAGTTTCGTTATGCCAGCATCTGCAGAAACTGCTGAAATAACCGCACATGTTTTCCAACCCTTGCTTAAGGAAACAGGAAGTGGTAAACAACAGAATTCAGAGCTGTGTAAAAAGAATCTATATTTTTCCATCTATTGCACCTGACTTCCTGCAAAGAAAACTAAATATTGTTCTCAAACATATTAATACATACATTTGAACCACTAGCATTTTAAATAACAACATTTATCTTTTGTATTCATAGTACAAAGCATAATATTTGCACCTGGTTTGAAAAAACACACAGATATTGTTTGCGGTAATCTGCAGATGCACCATTGCAGCTCACTCTGTGCTCAAACAAAGGATGTGCCTGGCACTCATTTCATTGAATAATTTATTTTCCAACTCTCACACATCGAAGCAAAAGGGGGTCTTCTTGGATAAAGCTTTCATTGTTGCGTGTAGATCCATCTGATTTTTCATGTCTGTTTCATATTTTCTTCTCATTAAAACCTTTTAAATGAATTACTGAAGTAACATCCATAATTGAAGTGTTCCCCTAACAGAAACATATCTAGGTTAGCGTTTGCACATACTCATGCATTATGAAATGGGAAGATACAGTTACTGAACATCATTGCACACCATTATCAGCTAGGGCAATCACATGGGACTCACATTTCGTGCTCTTGTTTCACTTTCAGTGACTGAGGGCCTCTCACTTTCATGCCTTTAAACAGTCAGTCATGAAAGCTCAGACCAAACAGCCTTGAATGAAAATACACAGAAAATGAAGCAGTGTGGACTTGATTAGAGATACCGTGAAGATGTATTCATGGAAAGTAATGTTTTGTTTTTCAATTTCATTAGTTTTTCTGGAACTGACACAATCTGGACTCGCCTCAGGTAAGAGCAATAACTGTTTAAAATAGTTTTTTTTTGTAGATAGTCAAACATATGGACAAAGACAAACTTTAACATCCTTGCTGACATTAATTTATGTATGCAAGAATCATCTGAAGGGAGTGCAGACCTCCCCCTCGGTGAAGCGACAGACATGGATAGGTGTCCAGAGGGAAAATACTTCTCCAACGACCTCTGTTTGGAGTGTCCCTCTGGTCATTTGTAAGTCATCAACCATCTTTGATATTAATGGTATAATCTTAATGTGTAAACTATGAAAATAATACATTAATAATCGATAATAGCTCAATATAAAGACACATTATTTCTGCTCCTTTTAATGAGTCACATGTAAGAATTTGAAATAAGATAAAAAATAAATAAATGTGTTCATCAAATCAATACTAATACTACTTTTTTTTTGTTTTTGTATAGTTGTCCTGGCAATGTATCTGCACCTCAAAGATGTCCAGCAGGAACGTTCAACCTCTACACGGGGAAAAGCCGTATCAGTGACTGTAAGGTGAGAGACAGCTTTGGAAAACAAACCCATCATCATCATCATCATCATCATACAACAAACTTTCTTTCTGTCATGCCCTCTTTTGAAAGCCATTGGTATTGCATATTTCATTTTATAGTCTGTATAACAATGATGCAGATTCATAGACCTTTTTCCCCAAAGTCATTTTGACATGTCATATCAAGAAAAAGCAGGTGAAACTAATATATTGATGATGAACTGCAACTGGTCACAATGTCTGAAAAATGTTTATTCTAATTAAGCTACACATCTTTCCCCTCTTTTTGTATGTTTATACCTTAAATACCTTGACTATTGGCTTTGATGCTGTCTGACAGGGAGAATTGTCCTCATTGTACTTACTTGATTAATGTCTGTATGTTTGCAGCCTTGTTTTCCAGGTCTGATCAGTTCCGAGTACCGAGTGGACTGTAGGCTGTGTCCTGCAGGTTTCTCATGTGATCCAGTCAATGGGACACTCTCTTTATGCCCCCCGGGACAACATTCTCCTGAAGGGGTCCTACAGTGTCTGACGTGCCCTGTAGATTCAGTCTGCACCTCTGGATTTCCAATTAGGGTAACTAATAAAGCAGACCATCTCAATAACAAATTCTCATCCTAAAATGTGTGTACGTTTAGTTTTCATAATAAATAGTTGATCGTTTGCCGAGAAATTTGAATGTATCTAAGTTGTCTGTTTTTCTCCTTCCTTCCTATTCACTTCCTATATGTGCCTTATAGTGTTGGCCTGGCAAGGAACCAAATGTAGATCACACTGTGTGCAATGACTGTCCCCCGGGCCTTTATTCCACTATATGCACTATCCAGTGCATTCAGTGTCCAGCAGGTAGTACAGTAACACATTAACATTATCTAATCTGCTTTCAATAAAGTGTTTTATTTAAGATAAATCTTATCTTCTGACCTCTACCCGGCATAGGAAGTTACTGTCCAGATAGTGGGATGACACAGCCGCTCCCCTGTCCTCCTACTTGGTCTTCCACACACGGGCAGACTGAATGCCGTAGCTGTAATGATACGTCTTTGCTGTGTGGGGGAGCTGTGGCCCCCCGCTGGAACCAGCTAGTCCACAGGTCCAGTCAAACGATCAGCTGTCGACCAGGAACATACAAAGATCAGAGGGAAGAGTTAGCATGTGTGATCTGTCCAGTAGGTTAGTGGTTGTCACTGCACACTGGTATCTGCGTTTCACCTCCTTCTGGAAGATGCCCTATATGTATATGTATACGTACATGTGTTTCATTCAAGGACATTATTGTGTGGGAGGTGTAGCTGTACCCTGTCCTGCTGGGACTTATGGCCCTAATGAAGGTCTGCAGAGGCTGAGAGACTGCACAATCTGTCCTGCAGGTAGAGTTTTGATTCACCTTGTAAGTTATTATACTTTTGTTTCATGTGCAAAGACTATATTACGAGCAAAAATATTAGTATTGGTATGTATACCCAATCCCATACATTGATATGATAAGATAACGATCCAGTTCAAACAAAACATTCTCATGAACGTGTCTATGAATACTTATCTCTAGGGTTTTACTGTCTGGAAGGCAGTTCACGGAGACCCACCTCCCAGTTCCTGTGCACACAGGGATATTACTGTGAGGAGGGCACCCTCACCCCTAATGGGTCACCTTGCCCTGCTGGTACAGCGGGAGAACAAATGGGTCAGACAAGTAGGGCAGGCTGCAAGAGATGTAGAGAAGGACGCTTCTGTCCTGCAGGTAAGTCTTAGCCCTGTTAGATTTCAAGCGGGCAACAAACAATGAAGTCATACAAAGAAAAAGTGTCTGTCTGCATGCGTGCGTGCGTGTGTGTCGCAGGCTCGTCAGGTCCTGGCTTGCCCTGTGCTCGGGGGAGATACTGTCCTGCTGGCACCTTGGAAGAAGTGATTTGTCCTCGAGGCACCTTCACCCCTCATCAAGGAGCCATAAGTACATTTATATAATGTATTATTACTGTTTTATTTTGTATTATACTTCTCTACTTCATCTCTTTAATAATCTTGTAAGTACATTTTCATATTCACAGCAATTGGTTATTTCTTTTTGGCTTAAGGCCCTGGCTTGCAATTTATTTGTAAGTGAATTATTTTATGGGAACTGCCCTACAGTCTATCAGCAGCTCAGCTTAAACTAATATGCTGCTATAGCTATCTATCATAGCAAACTCAGTGATTACATAACGATATAAGTGTTGTTTAGTCCCCATGATGAACAGGAATATATGGATGAGAAATTTCAACAGATGGATGCCAAGGGTGCAAAGAGAAAGCGTCTTATATAGCATAGAAGAAAAAAAAAACAACTGTCTGACCAGCTGGAGCTGTGAGACCAGTACGGAAAACGAATGGAGGATATGAAAGGAAATGAGCAGTACAAATAATACATTCAAAAGAATCTTACTGGCATCCTAATAAAGTAGACATCTTGTAACTATTGCATCCAGGTGTGAAGGACTGTCTCAAATGCCCGGCGGGTTTCTACTGTCCTGAGGGGAGAAGCGACCCTGTGCCCTGTCCACCAGGCTCCTTTAACCCCTTAGAGGGTCAGGATGAGTTGGATGATTGCAGGGAGTGCTACGCAGGGAAGGCCTGCACACAGGTAGCCCTGAAAGCCCCAGATGTGGACTGCATGCAAGGGTAAGTAACCTCTTCATTTTCAAGTAAAGGTTTTATTTCTGAACCATTTGATTCTTCACTGATAAGATAACATTTTGATACAGCATGTCTATTAGGAGTAAAACATTGTCTTATAATATATTGTTTTCTGTTATATTGCCTGTTATATTATCCTGCATTTGTTACCCTATTTTTAAGCTGACTTTGCCTGAATGTTTAAAGGTTTGTGTGTCCCCCTGGGTCTTCTCAACCCAACGCACCAACCAATGCCTGCCCACCAGGGACACTGAGCGATCGCACTGACCTCACTGACCGCTCACAGTGTCAGCAGTGCCTAGCTCGATATGCCTGTCTTAGAGGTGCCATTTATTTTTCACACATTTACATGTTCAATTTGTTTTTAGAAGTAGTGTTTAATATTTTTGTATTTGTAGTATCAGAAGATATGTTTAAGTTGCCTCTTTACTATACTTTCATTTTTTAAATGGGTCAACAGGTAGATATAGCCCAATGTGTCCATTATACATAGCTATATTTGATTGTGTAAGTGCAGTTTGTTTTGTGTTTGCAAGTGTTTCCATCTAAATGCCTCATTGTTTTACACTTTATCAGGAACTGGTGGTATCCAGAGACCACCACTCTTCTGCTTTTCAGGGCATTATTGTCCACCTGGAACTATGTTCCCCACCCAGCACAAGTGTCCTGTGGGGACATGGAGCGGTCAGAGTGGACTGGAAGCTGAAAGTGAGTGCCGGCCATGCCCACAGGGCTGGTACTGTTTGGCTGGATCTGCAGCTCCGTCAGGGCGATGCAGCTCTGGACACTACTGTCCTGAAGGTACACCTGGTTGTGGCATAAATGATAGTATAGGTGGTATATACATTCATTAATACATGTGTTTACTGCTGTAGTTCAAAAAGTTATCTAATAAAAGTAAGACTACAGCTTATTATATGAAAATTTGAGCTGTTATGAGTCATTCATGCTGATATAAGTATTTCGATGATGCATCACTAGGGACTGCATATGGCACCCAGTTTCCTTGCCCTGCGGGGACCTACAGTATCCACATTGGAAACAGATACAGAGAAGATTGCCTGATATGTCCTGAAGGCTCATTCTGTCAAAAGGGCACCTCCAAACCTTCACCCTGCCCCATGTAAGCAGTCATTGTGTATTCTATCAGATGTGAGCATGATGATAAAATAAATGAGAATATGGAAAGAATTAGCAATAAGGGGTCAACTCAAGGATAAATCTGATGTAATAAGTGAGATTAATTTATATACATTGTCCTGATGTTTACCAGATCCACATTTCGCCATCTGAAAGGGGGTCGGAGGCAGGACGACTGCTCTGCTTGCCATGCTGGATATTTTTGTCCCCACTCAGCCACTGTCAACCCCAGAGTGTGTGGAGCTGGAAGCTACTCTGTAAGGCCCCATGATCCATAATACAGTTCACTTTGACTGGCCAACTGTCAGAACCAGTGGAAACCAGAGCTGCTGTATTAGTCTCGTCCTTCCATCAGCCAGTCTGATTGTCCTATTTTTAGATTAACATTTTCCACCCACAGAGATCAGCTTACATTACTCACCATGTATGTACATCCGTAAATGTCAGCAAGAGGAGTAGTCAAAGTTACATTTTGTTATAGATAATCTTTTGCTTTCATTTTTGAAGAAGTATAAGTGTGTTATTCCATCGTATTGCAAGTTCTATCCTCCTTCCCTTGTGTTTTCAGTCTTTATTTTGTGCTGTCCCTCCCCCATACTGGTTGATATCTTTAACTTCAACTCTCTGAATCTTCCTTCACGTTCTTTTGTGTGTAGGATGAGGGCTCTGTGGAGTGTTCTCCGTGCCTGCAGGGCCACTACTGCAGTGATGAGACGACTAGTGAAGAAGCCATGTTAAGCGTCATGGTGTGCCCCCCAGGCTTTCTCTGCTCTCAGGGTTTAGCCCGAGACCCCCAGCGCTCAGCCACACTTTGTCCTCGAGGCTTCTTCTGCCCAGGAGGAGGCATTGTGAGTCAAAGAACGATGCATACAGAGAAATCACTTTTTTTTTTTTGTCTTAATCGCTATACCTGCAAATCCCTCACAGGATCCCAACCCCATTCCTTGCACCAATGGTACCTATGGTGAGTCTCCTGGTCTGCGGGATGCTAGCGAATGTGCTCAGTGTCCGGAGGGGGAATACTGTTATTCCCAGGAGCCTCAGGAGCAACCTATAACCCGGCCTGTAAGATACCAAAAAAACAGTACTTAGTGAGAACACATATCCTTTTACATTATTTTTTTCTGCTTAATTCATTTTGATAGAGATCATACATGACCATATTATACAGTATATAAATGTTCATTGCATAAAGTCAAACTTTGTTTTAGGTGAAGATTGTACACCAAAGGAAATTAAACAAATAGTTTTTATGCTGTATTTTTCAGACAGGCATTTGTCCTGATGGGCACTATTGCCCCAGAGGGACTGGTTACCCCCTCACTTACCCCTGTCAGGCTGGACAATATAGGAACAACACTCTTGGTCACAGTGGAGAGGCATGTGTTTTATGTCCATCCAGGCATTATTGCGACAGACCGGGAACTCACATGCCTGCAGTCTGCCCTCAGGTAAATCCAGCATTTTGTAAAACTGCTTTGCAGCATTCAGAAACAGACCTTGTCCTTATAATTCTTGGCACTGTGCATGTGAAACCAACTCTTTCTCTCTTTCTGTCATTCTGTTATAACAGGGCTTTTACTGTCCGGAGGGCACTTCTGCTGCCGAACCTTGTCCTGAAGGAACCTACAGCTCGCGTTCAGCTCTCAGTAATGGGTCTGAGTGCTCCTCTTGTGCTGGAGGACAGTATTGCACCAGTGTGGGACTCTCAGAGCCCTCGGGAAGCTGCAAAGAGCGCTTCTACTGTAGAGAAGGAGCCAAGTCTGCAGTATGAAGAAAATATTTCAAACATTTATTGAATAGAATCTGCTAGTCTTTAATGCTTTATTCTTGTTTTGATAAATTATAGGTCTGTGACTCATGTCACATTAAAACACTTTACACTTAGTTCTCAGTTAGGTGATGAAACTCGGATTATGAAACATTATGTGTTATATGTATTATTTTGAATGGGCTTTTTAGGAATAACATGAATTATCTGCAGTTCATGTTCGCTTTTCTTTACATACCCTATTTCCAGACTCCTGCAGATGGGCCGACAGGAGGTTTGTGTCCAGTAGGAAGTTACTGTCCTCCGGCTTCGTCCTCTCCACTGCCCTGTCCATCTGGCACCTTCAGCAACAGCACTGGCCTCAGCAGACCTGAGGAGTGTGTCAGCTGTCCGCCAGGGTAATGCTACTAACACTTCATTACTGGACCTCCTCAAACTTTAATTGATCAGCTTATTTATTTAAGAGAACCATGTAAAAATGTAATCCTGTGTTGTTTTTGTCAATTATTTTCTCTCCCTGTCAGTTTCTATTGTTTAGGTTCAAACAACACCTCCCCTTCAGGTCCTTGTTTTCCTGGTTTCTACTGTACTGGTGGCTCAGCTTCCCCTGTTCAGAGTGAAGCAGAGGAAGGGTATTATACCTTGGAGAGGGCAGCGAGGCAACAGCCATGTCCTCTTGGCACTCATCAGCCGGTAGGAAATAATCCACACAGAATACCAAGTGCTGTTCTACTGAAAGTGTACAGTAAAATCTAAATAATGAGATAAAGCCATATTCAAGGTGATTCCCTTGTCTATAAATCCTTCACAGCGTCGAGGTGCACAGTCATGTGTGGAGTGTCAGGGAGGCAGACTGTGTAACCAGACAGCCTTGTCACGCCCACCAATGTGTCCCAAAGGACACTTCTGTCCTCCGGGGTATTCTGCTGCTCGACCCTGTCCTCCAGTCAGTAGTTTTAATGAGTGTACTTTTGCACTAAAGCTTCATTCAAATTCAGATGTTGTAAAATGATACTATCTTATATTCAGGGCTCTTACTCTGACCAGCCTGGTGGGGATGCTGTTCACCACTGTCGGCCATGCGAGGCCGGCTGGTTCTGCAGCCAAGCCGGACTCTCTGAGCCTCAGGGTCTCTGTGACCCGGGACACTACTGCACCTCTGGAGCCTCCACTGCCTCTCCTGTAAGATGTTACATAAAATGACTTTGATAGTTTGGCTTCAAGCAGGTTATCCAAAAAAGAACTGATGTTTTAGTAACAAATAAATACATAAAGTGTATGTTCTATTGAGGACTTTATAACACTATATAGATATTCTCATGACACTCTCTTCTAGTTATTAGGTGCCTCTTCCCATATACATTTACTTTCTACAGATAATGAAAATAATTTAAATGACTACAATGTTTTACTGTCATATTACCAAAATGTTTTTTTTCATAGATATTATTCATATGTAGCAAGAATCCATGCTCTAAAGCTTTTCATATACTTTACCTTGTTGATCTTTGACAGAGCGAGGGAGCACTCACATGAAAAACATGGGGCAATTAGAGAGGAAGAGATGTCTTTTTAAGTTGAATATTTTTTTCTTCCAAGTTAAAGCTGTGTCGCTGGCTTGCTGACAGCTATTTATTTCCCACTCACTTTGAGCGTTCGGGCTTGAGTGTTTTCTGTCATTTTAATATAATTAGGAATTTAGAAGCATGTTGGAATTGGGCAAATAAATAATGTTTTACAGCAGTGTTTTTTGGGTAAGTTGCTAACAGTGTCTGGGAAATGAATGACAGCTTCCAAGACAAACTTCCCACAGATTTAACTTTTAAGTTCTAACTAGTGCTGAGAGCCAAAATGACCAAACTTTGTCATAATCTGATGATTACTCCGTTTTCCAGCAGGTGGCTTTGTTGTCTGGAGGAGTTTGTTCTGCAGGCTACATCTGTCCACGAGGGACCTCTTACTCGCAGCAGCACCCCTGCCCTGCAGGGACCTGGAGCAGTACTGTGGGTGCCCAAAACATGTCCTCCTGCTGGCCCTGCCCTTCAGGACTCTACTGCAACAATACAGGACTCAGCAAGCCTTCAGGACTTTGTGATAAAGGCACACAAATTAATTATCTGATTCAAAACATTGTATTCTGTTTTTAAACGGTTAAACAGTTGTTAAGTCCCGAATTACCCAGTAACTGAAACAGCTCTCTGTTTATAGGGTCAAATCCTTAATCCTAATGCTATTACCAAATGAATATAATCTGATAACTATCTCAACTGCTGGAGAGGAGATATGGCTAGCTTTTAGATTTAAAATGCTTTTTGTGAGTATCTACTGACCACTGTAAACTATAGTATTAATGGGTAGGTGAAGATGTCTGTCTTTTTATTATTACTTGCGTCCCTAACTTTTTTTGTATCTACTGATTCATAGGGTATTATTGTTCAGGAGGGGCTGTGTCTTCAATGCCCTCCGACAGTTTGACAGGGGACATTTGCCCAATTGGACACTACTGTCCCATGGGCTCAACTTCCCCTCTCCTCTGTCCTGATGGGACGTACTTCAACAGTACAGGTAGAGGAAATTCATTTTGTGAAACGATTCGTCTACAAAAAATATAAAGTATAACACATTTAAATCATTAAGTTCTTGCTTTCTTGTTTTGGATGAAGGTGCAGAAGAGTGTGATGACTGCCTCTCAGGGACTTACTGTCTCTCAGGGGAAGGCGTCCAGCCCTGTCCAGCAGGACACTATTGTTTTGGTGGCAGTGTTGAGGGCATCCTGCCCTGCCCTCCTGGCACATACAGCCCTCAGTTTGGCCTCAGCCAAGTGGAGCAGTGCCTCATCTGTCCAGCAGGTGAGAGTGTTGTGTCATGGTTGTCTTCATCGCTCTGAAAGACACTTGGAAGTCCTTCATTAAATGTTTAGCGAGCTGAATCCGGTTTTAATGTATCAACTCCTTAATATGCTAGATGTGCTGGAACTAATTGATTTAGATAAAAGGCAATAATAGAATGCTTTATCACATTTAAATTACTAGAGGAGGGATATTATTTTGTGATGTGAGGAAATTAACAATCAAGACTTTGAGAACGTCGGTGTCCTATTATTACAGCAGTGTTTTTTTTTAACTCTTCATGCTCTGCTTACAGGGTTTTACTGTGAGGACTGGGGTCTGTTTGAACCTACTGGACCCTGTCAAGCTGGTTACTACTGCATAGCAGGTACAATACATGCATCATTATAGCACAGTTGTGAAAATGACATTATTGCCATCACTTTTACCTCATTTAAAGGACTTATAATATACCACTGTGCTGCTTAAGTGAATTGGATGACTAAACTTATGTTAAATTTGCAACTTAGGTGTGAACTTTCAGAACCCAGATGGTAACTTCAGCACAGGAGTGGGAGGAACCTGTCCAAAGGGGAAGTACTGTCCTGAGGGCACCAGACTCCCCCTGCCCTGCCCACCAGGTACCTACTCTAACAGGTTGGTGGACCTAAATATATTTTTTGTAATCATATATTAATTGTAACTATTGTAACAGAAAATATGTGGATATTTGAACATCAATGCAGCATTTACTCAAATAACATACATGTACAAGGAATGTTCAGTAAGGTGTAACAACAATATTACAGCCCCATAAAGAACCCACATATAATCTTCCGATAATGGATGCAGATGAATATACTTGCCCATCATATATATACATACACAACATACCCACAGCTCACCTACAGCCCATAATAAATACAATAAAATGTAGTTTGCATCAGCAGTAAAGGACATGAAGTAATTGTAGACCCAAATATAAACACATGCACACTTGTAAACAGACACTCATTTGGTTCTGCCATGTAAATGTATGCATTCTGTGAATCTTTTGTCATCTGTCACGTATGGTTGCAGTCTTCATCTGACAGACGTCTCTGGCTGTAATCCATGTCCAGCGGGTGTTTTCTGTGGCACTGCAGGTCTCACTCGTCCATCTGGACTGTGTCAGGCAGGATTTTACTGTCCAGGGGGAGACACAAAAGCTACAGGTAGAATTGCAAAATATTGAGTTTTATTTTATTCATGAAAAGTTCATTTATTTTGTGCTTGTAGTATAATGTCAAAATGATTTACTCCCTTGCTTCATCTCTTCTGCAAGATAAAACCTAGTCCGCCCACCTTCAAATATGAACACAATGATAACATAGTTAATTAATCATTGATTAGCAATGGGTGTTGTTTATACATGAAATGAAATTGTGGAGAGCTGCGATTATAATGTTTGGAGAGTGATCTTATGAATAACCATCAGCTAGAAGAAAAACAGATGCTGATAAATGCAGGAAAAGCGAATGTAAGAGGGTGTTTTGTTAAATGCATGATTACTGAATTAATCAGTGTTTATCACATGATTAATCACATTAAGGGCTAAGCAGTCCTAATCTCAGTAATTTACCACATCTAATTGTTATATGCTCTCCAGGCTCAGAAGGAGGTCTTTGCCCACAAGCTCATTACTGCCCTGAGGGTAGTGCGAGCTCGGTGCCATGCCCAGCTGGAGCCTACTCCATCCTCACAGGCCAATCAGTGTGTTCCCACTGCCCTGCTGGCTACTACTGTCCAGAGAAGACTGGAAACTTCTCCAAGTCCCCCTGTCCCCCTGGTTTCTACTGCCCCGACGGTAGACTCTCCCAAACCACTATCAGTCATGGTTATGTATCTTTATGAATTCATTGAGGGTAGCATCTAGAAACTTCTTCGTGTGCTTAAAGATTCTCACGGATAAATGTGTTTAAAACGCTGAAATGGTGTGTATCACTTGAAATTAGATTGTATTTTATGCGTAGGTACAAGGCATGCCACCCAGTTTCCCTGTCCTCGTGGATACTACAACCCGGAGCCAATGACTCAGAGTCTGGACAGCTGCCTGCCTTGTCCTCCAGGACACTACTGTGAGAAGGAGAGGCTGACCAAAGTGTCTGGAAAATGCAAAGCCGGTAATTTTCTACAAAAGACACAATCTCAGCCATACAGCCTGCTTACAAAGTGGCAGGACTCTATACTCTGTGACAGCCTAGTTTATATCTTGCAAGCCATTCCAAAGCAGTTAGGGAAAATTGCTGTCAGTGCTCTAAAAGTACGTATATTAAGCACGACATATCACATCTCAACACGAGCCACATCAGTCATTATTTTACTTCCCCTCTCTTTACAGCTTTATTATAGTATTTCAGCAACATCAGCAGCTTTCAGATAATTATTTATTTCTATATTAAGGCGACAAATGGCCTGGCTCCATATGCCATCAACCCTAATGCACACAAGTCCCATGCAGATAATACAACAGTGGCTTCCTGGTTTGTTTGTCATGTTTCTTATGTTTCTCGCTCTTGTGAGTTTCATGCTCTGTGGAGCGTGTTTTTCTTACCCTGTTCGGAAAGTCAGCATCTGATGTGACATCTAAACTGATTTGAATTTATGTTGGCAACATGAGTGTTTGTAAATCACAAATATAGACAGCAGTCACAACATAAGCACCTCATTGTCTCCTGCTCTGTCTTTTGCTTCATCTATTCCTCTCAGGTTGGTTTTGTGTGTCAGCTGCATGGAACTCCCAGCCTTTTGACCTCGACAACTACACAAATGCCAACTGTCTTTGTCCAGCTACATCTACAGGGGGGCGCTGCCAGGCGGGCTTTTACTGCCCCTTAGGTAGCTCAGAGCCTGTGCCTTGTCCACCTGGAACATTCTGTAACATCTCAGGTATTTGAAATCCAATTAAAGACCTACTCATTCACACTAGTCACTAATCCAAAGTCAGAATTTTAATGGCCTGGTTTTTCATATTGGACCCCAGCAAGTGAACACATTTTTCTTTCAATCACACACATGGAACTAGAATTACAAATATGTTCTCAGTCAGAACTTGTAACCAATTACATCTAAGAGTTATATTGTAGTGTTTGAACCCCAAGGCAGCCCGCAACAGCTACATTTAACTGTCTGTGTAAAATGTATCTATTTTTGTGACATTGACAGTTATAAAAAGTGTTATTTTGATGTAGCCTTATAAGTTAGGATTTCTTTTTGGTTGGTAAAGCTATTGGTTATTTGATCTGTATATGTAAGTTAAGACCATTTATAATCAGTCATGTGATTATTTTCGGATGTATATGGAAGTGTATGTACTATATGACATTTTGGCCAATTTGATTGTAGGTCTTTTGGGGGGCTCACACATTATTCTACATAAGGGGATTTCAGTCTTAAGGCCACTTATACATAATATCTCTGGGTATTTAAAAAACTCATAAAAGTCCTCATGTTGTTAAAAAGGTTTGGCTCTGCCGATGGGACCCTGCTTCCCTGGGTATTTCTGTGTTGGAGGAGCAACTGAAGCCAAACCAACAGATGGAAGAACAGGCAGCATCTGTCCACCTGGGGCATACTGTGGTAAGCGCCGCTTTACTTCTTTGGAACAGTTGTATTACTAACCTGCCAACAAAGTTTTTATTTATATATTAATTAAAAAAAATTAATATCTTGGTGAAGTCCATAATGCATTAGTACCACTTATACTTGGCCTAATGTTTAAAAAAAAAAAATGTATAATTGAGTTTGATTAGAAGAAAATATTTACATATTCATTATATTACCACTTTTCTCTAGCTTTTGATGTCTGCCATTAATCTATGTCCAACTTCTTAAGGATCTACATTTGTTCCTATGCAGGGAATGTGTGACAATATAGCCTTAAGCCAAAGTAAACTGGGTTGAGAGAAACTGACCCCATGAAATAAGTAATATGTATGCACTTTGCATCATATACCAATACAATGCAGAATGAGAGTCTGCAAAGTCTTATCAAATCTTATTCATTATTCAAAGGGCAGTTCTTTGATATTGCTTGGAATTGTTTTTTTTTATAGCAAGAAAGGCCCAGCCTTTAACCCTGTTTTTATTTTTTTTATTTTCAAATGTCTTTCTGCAGTCCAAAGATATGCAAATGACATGAACCTAAGACTCTTAAGTAGCTGTATTACATTTCATTTTCAAAGTTATTGCATAGTCATAGCTATGACTCAAGTAGACCTGTCAACCTAATTACCCATGGGTATGAGAGTGAGTCATCTTGAGTCAACTTTTGTTAGCCTGTCTACTGTTGACCTGTGTGGAGTTTGTTCATGCTTTTGACTCAGTGTATCCTGGGAGTCTAGAATAAGTATTGGTATGTAAAGGAAAGGAAAGGAATGAAAGGCTGAATGAATGACTTTTTCTCTCTGCAGTTGAGGGCTCTGGAGAGCCAGAGTTGTGTCCAGCGGGTACTTTCTCCCCAGTGCCAGGTCTAACCAGGGAGGCGAGCTGTCAGCCGTGTACTGCAGGTGTCTACTGCAGAGTAGCAGGTCTCAGGGCTCCAACTGGACCCTGCAGCCAAGGTAGTCCATGCATTGTATTATGTCTCATCGGTTTAAAATAAACTGTTTAAAAGTGTTCGGCAGTTGCCTTTTTCATAAAGTTACATGTGCTTGATTCATTCTTTGTTCGGCTCCAACCTCCTTTCCATCCTTGCACACTTTGCTCTATTTTATGTTTTGTCACCTAGGCTATTGGTGCCCGCCTGGTCAGACAGTGGCTACAGCTCTGCCGTGTCCTCCAGGTCACTTCTGTGTGCAGGGAAGTGCCACTCCAGAGCCTTGCCCGTCAGGAACCTACCAGGACAGAGAGAAACAGGCAGCCTGCACCGTTTGTGGCGCAGGTATAAGAGCGCTTTACTCTTCTTTTTTATCTTCTCTACAGAAGGATGTATTTATTTTCTTTCTAAACACTGCTGTTGACCTTGTGGCATTTCTGATGTACTGAAGACAGTGTAATGAAAACAGCCCTCAGCAACCCAGCAAGTGTTCATTTATGAAATTGATGACTCACTCACATGCACCTGTTCAATGTATTATATAACAAGAATAAAAATGTATAAAAACTTAATTTACACAGAACATTTAAAAACCTTGGCAAAATACTTTACATTGTTCAAATAAGAATGAACTGCACTGTATACAGCACTTTACAAGTTTGTTGAAAGAAGTGTTCTACAAATGCAATTGTTTTTGTAAGTATTTTTTATAATGCTTATTCAAATATGTGTGTTTTTCTTCTGTCAAGGGTACTACTGCGATTTGAGACTAGCCAATGCCTCTTTTTTGCGGCCTTGCCCCAAAGGACACTATTGCCCTGCAGGTACAAGCATGCCCGACCAACACCCCTGCCCCAGTGGCTCCTTCAACCCGAGAGTGCACACTGCCAGCCTCACAGCCTGCATGCCCTGCGCTGCGGGACACTTCTGTCCTTCTGTGGGCCTGTCAGAGCCGGCAGGTGAGAAAGAGGGCGACCTCTTCTTTTAATCCCTTTTCCTTTTTTCTTACACCATTACTTTAAGCGGTAGTAGGGACTGCTATGTATGTCATTATGCAACAAACTAGAATTTTGAAATCATTATGGCTGAGGAGGAAATGAATAACAACATTTTCCCAAGTGTGTTAATAGCGAGTCAATATAAACAGTGTACACAGGACCAAAGCTGTTCTGATCTTTACATAAACCCCCCAGATGGCTTATCTAACAACACATAATGTTTAACATGAGAAGACATTGAAAGATTGTTGGAATTACAGTCTAATGTTTTAAGTAAAGTTAAGACCCACATGGGAGAATCTGATTTGAAACATAATCATTGTAAAAAAGCAAGGCGTGTTATCATCACATACATAGCAGATATGTACTGTACATACAAATATTCAGCAACATATTTATAAACGGTGAATAAACCTATTCCTTTAACCTAACTCTAGCGCAAAAAGCTATGGATTTACAGTATTTTTGTCATTAAGTTCTGGTGCCGCTTGAGTGGCAGCCTTGTTACAGCAGCTCCTACTCACCGCTGAGTAGTTTCCTCACTTTTGCTGTTACAATGTTCATGTCCCCTCTGTGGGACGAATAATGGGATTCTGATTATTTTCCTTGGTTTAGAGATACAGCTCTGAAAAAAATTAAAAGACCACTGCACATTTTTCTTAATCCTCCATGTCAGCCATTCCATTCAAGTATCTGTACAGTATATCCGAGACTAAAAGCTGAAAAGCAAATTTTGTTGGTCAAGTCGTTAAACCCAACATTTGTACTAGGTAGCATGTACTGTGGAGCTGTGGTTTTATCTACATTACTGTATCATAATTACGTGTTGTTATATTCTACTACCTATAGGACCATGCAATGCTGGTTATTGGTGCAGAAAGGGGGCTTCCTCTCCAAGCCCACTTGATGGACGCTCAGGTTCCCTGTGTCCACCTGGTCAATACTGCCCCTCAGGTTACTGGCTTGCATCAGCCATGCTACATTACATTTCATTACATTAGCCATCAGCTGCTTCATTGCTGCTATATTGTTGTGTTATAAACGTCCCAAGTTTTACAAATAATGTTTTTAAATCCAACACTTGATTCGTAGGTTAATGTAACCAAATATATACTGTTTTAGGCTATTAACATTTTACCCCGTCAAATTCACAGGCTACAATGTTTTATTCATGCTACTGTAATTACCATTTGGTGGCCTACAGGAAGTACTGACAACATTTATCTTGAAACTTGCGATACAGTTTTCTTCAAACTAATGTGTGCACTTTGTTGTCCTCTCAGACTTGGGGCACTGACCTATGCTTTAGAAATACTGCTGTAGGGCAAACTCTGACTTTATCAACTCTGCACGCAGCAACATGCTCTTGTATGTCTCACTTATTTAGTTACCCTTTATGTCTTATAAAAGTGTGTAAAAAATGTTCACACTATATTGCATTGCCAAACCCAATAACTCCATTGTTCGTAACATCTTTTAATAGTCTTTTAATAGTTCTCTTAATGTTTGTTTCATATTAACAGGCACAACAGCTCCTATGGCCTGCCCTGAAGGCAGCTGGTCAAACAGCTCAGGACTGCGTATCCAGGAAGACTGCAAACTGTGTCTGGGGGGGTTTTACTGCGACTCTGCTGGTCTCACTAAACCTAGTGGGCCTTGCAGTGGGGGGTATACCGCACTCTGATTAACATAAGAAATACAAAATGTTGTCCTTGTTATTGCATTTCTTTCTGTCATGCTCACAGTCTCATTTCATGTTACTTTTGCAGATATTACTGTGTTGAGGGAGCCGTCACACCCACCCCTACTGATGGAATGACAGGGGGACCATGTCCTGAGGGTTCCTACTGTCCAGAGGGCACTGTTCAACCTCTGCCTTGTAAACCAGGGACATATGTTGCTGTTACACATGCTACTGAGTGTGAGCCATGTGTGGCAGGCTGGTACTGTGTGTCTGGCTCTCTGTACTTGTGTCCTCCAGGTCTGTCATTTGTTGTATCGTATGTCCTTGAAACCAATCATATTACTTAAGTGTTGATAATGTTTTCATATCCTTTTTATTTATAAATGTTTTTTGTGACTGTTATGTGGCTTACAGGCTTTTACTGCCCTGAAAGAACTGGATTTGACTTAAGAGGCTGTCCAGAAGGAACTTATGGCCCTGACCCCGGCTACTGGTCCGTTTCTCAGTGCAGGCAGTGTGACGGCGGCCATTACTGCTCTTCCAGAAATGGCACAGCTGTCACTGGACAATGTCAAGAAGGATATTACTGCTCACATGGAAACACCTCTCCACAACCCCTGTCACGGGCTGCAGGTGATAAATATATTTACCAGATATCTACCGCAGGTTCACACATTCAGGAAATATGGAATTGTCAGCCTTGTTATTATGTGAGGAAGTCGTTCTCCATCAATGTTCCTATTTGGAGATTGTTGACAAATGGCAGTTTTGTTTTCTGTGTCTCATCAGAAGAGGGAGGGCCATGTCCTGCTGGTCATTACTGCCCCCAAGCCGCCATAAATCCTCTGCCCTGTCCACGTGGAACATTCTCTGATCTCACCAAATTAGCCTCCCAGGTCACTGTGAATCAATATTGCACTTACATGTATCTTTTACAATATTCTTTTTTTTTGGTGTTAATAATGAAAACAAATATTCAACAACTAAATATAATTTGTTTCCTGCATCACATGAGGATAATCAGTGATTCATAGGACATGAAATGAATACTCATACTCTCATGAATACATAAAGAAATGTGGTATATATTTATTGTATTCATAGCAACAGCCAGCCACATAATTGGCTCTTCCCTGTTTATCTTAAAAGACAGACAAAGAATGAATGATGCGACATTATAAAACAAAATGATCCATTAAAATATGTATTCATTTATATTAATTATCTGTTAATTATGTAGTCATTTCTTTTTTTTCATTATTTCCTAATATTTAATATAAAACATGGATGTCTTAAATACTGTACTTTCAAAACAAATGTATGGTCCTGCTACATTACATGCACCCTAATCAGTATACAATTAAGAGGAGAAGTACTTACATGTTTCCTCTGTCTTTCAGTGTGACAGCCAATCAATATCTAATCCCAAATCAATGTTACAATGAGGCACTTTCTTTCTTTCATTTTCTAACTGCCCATCTCTCTCTTTACCTTCCTCTCTCTGTCTGTTTAATTTCCCCTCTCAGGAGGATTGCCAGCCATGTCTCCCTGGTTACTATTGCGATGCTGCAGGGCTTTCGGTCCCTTCAGGGGAATGCTGGGAAGGTTTCTTCTGTCTGGGGGGTGCAGATCGCCCTGACCCTCCTCTGATAGACAGCCGGGGAGGACCGTGCCCAAAAGGTAATCAGATCCCTTCAAATCAAGACATCTGTATTTAATATTAAAACAAATAATTACAAACTCTCTAAAGAAAATGCACAAAGAGAGTCAATACAGAACACATGGGGATAGAGTAATAAGGTTTCCATTGTTTACAGGCAATGGTAGCAAGACGCAATTTCTTAAGCATTATATAAAATACAAAAGAAGTGCGGTACAAAATTAGGTTACACATTTACATAAACCCAGAACAAGCTTAGTGACCAGGTAAACAACACCTTTTGACTTAATAGGGCTTGACATAAGCAGCTACTCTGTTGACAGTGGATACTGAACCCTATCCCCTGTAGATTGTGCGTGTCTCTGTGTGTGCACTTGAGTGTGCAGCACTTTCATGACTCTTGCCTTCACACATCCAGGATATTACTGCTCTGAGGGCTCTGTGGCTCCTCAGCAGTGCCCTCTGGGAACCATCAGTACGGAGGACAGCAGAGCCGGCTGCGGTGCCTGTCCCCAGGGGTAAACTCTCTTGTTAGCCATACGCAGTCACACTGCACCATAAACATAGATAAATTGTCACATATAAACATGATGAACCTTTTAAAGAGTCGATGTTTTACACACATAAATGAATTCCCCCCGAGCACTGCATACATATATATATATATATAGGAACAGTATATTCATGTTTCAATGCCACTTTTAGTAGCCAAGAACTAAATTATTCCATCCTTTTTTGTTTTGTCTGGATAGTTTTTACTGTCCTGGCAATAATGGCTCTCTGTCGAGGACTTATGAGTGTCCAGTGGGTCATTACTGCCCGTCCGGGACCTGGTCCAAACACCAGTACCCATGTCCAGCTGGCTCCATTAACCCCCACACTCGGATGGCACAACCCCAGGACTGCTTGCCCTGCCCTCCAGGTCACACACCATTTACTGCCAATGTTTATGAGCTTCCTTAAAGTTGTTGTTGTTGACTAAGAGTTTAAGACGACCTTGACGGTCCATGGAAATTAAACACTGTATTGCCAGAATAATTCAACTTTAAAAAGCAACTTTTATTAATAACTGTTTTTAACATAAATCAAACAAATGCTGCACCGAAACTTGAATTAATACGGTATGCAGTGCCTTTTCCCCCATTTTCCGCTTTGCTGGGTAATTCAGGGTAGTTTTCCCTTCCACTCAATTTCACTCGTTTTCCCATCAAACCAGGCTCCTTCTGTTTGTCTCCTGGGAAGAGTGTTGCAACAGGCCAATGCGAAGCAGGGTACTACTGCCTCTCTGGGGCCTGGTCACCCACACCAGAGGATGGAGAAACGACAGGGGACAGATGTCCTGAAGGTCATTACTGTCCCCAGGGCTCCTCAGCACCAGTGCCCTGTCCTATAGGACGCTACAGCAACACAACCAGAAACCGTTATCTCTCCGACTGTCTGACTTGTCCTCCAGGTTGGGACTAATTTATGTTGCATACATTAGTGTTTAATTATGTGCCTTCTATCTGCCAGAAGATAAAGTATTCATTACATAACTTGATTTATCAGTGGGATAATCCCTTCACACGACGTGTGCGGCTGCTCAACACTGCTCAATTTGTTTTGTAGGTTTCCTGTGTGTCACCAGAGGGCTCTCTTTCCCTTCTCATATCTGTCCAGCGGGCTATTACTGCCCAGGCAAAGTTAACAGCAGCCAGCAGGCCGCTATACCCTGCTCACCTGGAAATATGTGCCCACCTGGATCTGGTAGACAGGTGCCTTGCTTACCAGGAACCTACCAGGATTTACCCGGTCAGGTGAGAAGGATGAGGCTGAACAGTATGCTCATATTCTGATTGGACCTATAGTCCCAAAGGCAAAGTGCATCCACTATATAATGCAAATACAATAACCTATAGTAGCAGCAATTCTCAATTATTCAGTATAAGGCTTGATATACTTGGCTGAAAACAAAGTTTTACTTTAAAACTAGATCTAGTAGTGCTATTGACTAACTGTTTAAAAGATGGGTGTATTGTGAGGCTTTGTTATTTACTCATTATAAAGAAAATAATGGCCTCCTGAAAGCATCTCCAACCACTCTGTGTACTGTAAACAGTTTATAGTTTAGCTTTTTAGATTCTTCAACACAAGCATCGAAAGGTTTCATGTCTGTTTACATTTGTGGACATCAGTTGTCAAACTCTTGTTACTAGTCTGTGTATATAGAATAATGAGCACTATTTACTTCTCCACAGGCAGAGTGTTTTCAATGTCCGGCAGGATTTTACTGTGTTGGATCAGTGGATAGTGGCACAGTGCATGTTTCTGGCACTCACTCTCCCACGCTGTGCCAGAAAGGACACTATTGCCCACCAGGTAGGATACAATAGTTCAGCTATTCCCACACATATTGACAAGTGAATAACATTGTCAGATATCAATACATGTGGGACACAAGTAATGGTTCAGGCTCAGTGGGATTGATTAATGGTATAAAAACATGTTGTACTGCATGCAAAACAGTGTTGAATATTGTTCTTGTTTTGTGTGTACTCAAGAGTAAGTGGCTGTAACAGTAAATGGCTTTCTAATTATGCAAATGTCGATTATAGAGCATAATCAAGATAAGGACGGCCTTCACAAACTGTTCTGTGATGTTAAGTCCTGGACCATCTGTAGATATTATACGCTATTTATCTGCAGGAACACAGTCTGGTGTAGCATTCCCATGCCCAGCTGGTGCCTTCAGCAGGCAGATGGGTTTGTCCAATAAGTCGGGCTGTGCGCTCTGCCCTCCAGGGAGATATTGTAGTTCCTCTGGACTGGCTGCTCCCACTGGGGTCTGCTCTCCTGGGTAAACACATGCAATCTGAACACATACTTCATATTAATAGAAAGACTTTACAAGATATCCTGTTTTTGTTGAATTCTGTGTCCCTTTTCTATAATTAAACCTCACTTTTGCTGTGCCTCCCTCTGTTTCGTCTATCACTTCCTACCTCCCACATCCCCCTCCCTATCGTCTCTGTCTTCATTATGTTGCTGCCCATAGTTACCTCTGTATCCATGGTTCTGTTTCTGCCCAGCCGGAGGAGGGCCCAACAGGAGGCCGCTGCTCTCCAGGGTCCTATTGCCCCCAGGGTACCAGCTTGATGGTTCCCTGCCCTGCAAGCACCTTCAGCTCCGTAGACGGTGAAAACACTGAATAATTACAGATACACTGACATTTGAACATAATGGGCTGACTTAACTGGAGCTATCGGCAATGAAACTGGGAATTTTTGTTATTGATTTAATTTTTTGAATTATTTCACTTGAACCTAATTAATCACATTTTAATCATTTACATCAAACATACAAATTGTGTTTCTGTTGTTCCAGGGGCAGTTTCTGTAGAAGTGTGTCAGCCCTGTTTGCCTGGCCATTACTGCGCTGAGGTTGGCCTTTCCTCCCCACCTGGGCTGTGCAACCCAGGCTTCTACTGCAGGGAGGGATCCAGAACAGCCACACCTTGGGGTAACTATACAGGTAATAGACTGATTGTTCTTGCACTTTAAGTAGTGTTTGGCAACCATGAACAACTAGTTTGTAATATAGAAAAACAAGGCATCCGACACAAGCTTGAAAAATGTTCTTCTATGCAATATTTTCTATCAAAGCACTTCTTTTTTTATTTAACATTTTCATGACCTTTGACTCCACAGTGCTGGTTCTTTCTCCACAGAACACTACCACCACTTCCACTGATTCCTCTTAGTAGTATATCTCTCCCTGGGAATGCAGCAAATGGCTCTGGCCTTTTAGTACACTCACTAACCTAATGAGTAATGACATGCAGTAAAGGTCTATTGTCTCAGTTACAGGAGAAACCACACCAACATCCCCACATTCTGGCAATTCAACCATGGGTCAGTTCCATGGTGGTGTGTGTCCTGCAGGCCACTACTGTCCTAAAGGGAGTGCAAAGCCAAGCCCCTGTCCTCCAGGTAAAAAATATCTGAATAGAGTTCTGAAAGAAGAGGAAATGATTTCTCTATTATGAACATGTAGCTAAACGGAAGTATATCATTCTCCTGTCATTTCACTTAATGACTATTGTGTCTGACCTCTTGCTTTTTATTACACTGCCTCTAAAGGTAGTGTACAGTTCCATAAAACCCCCAGAGGTACAATATAATGGCTTAATGTATCCAGAACTTTACAGATGGTTGTAAAAGCTAATAGGAGCCCAATAAAACTGTCAAAGTGGTCAGCTTGCTACTTAACCTTAAGGGAATCAATTGAGCCATACATGGTGCATATATATACTGTTTAACACGATTATGTCATACTATTTCATGTTCTCTGGATGTATATGTCTATGAGAGAGAGAGATCTTTGCTCTAATGATAATTTGTCTGCCCAATATAGGCACTTTCTTGGGAATGTCTGCGGCTGAGTCGGAGGCTGACTGTGCAGCTTGTTACCCGGGGTCTTACTGCCCCTCATGGGCTCAGACATCTGCCGACCTCCTCTGTCCCCCGGGGGGGTTCTGCCCGCCAGGATCAGTGTCTGGACATCAGCCAGGTACACTACACATCATCCGGGGTCAGCTCAAGTTCAAGCAGGGGAGTCTTTGCACTTCCTTGCGCTTCTTTTTTTACCTTTGTTTCTTAGCACAATGTCTGATCATGTACTGTAAGTCTTGTTAAAAAAAATAATGCTCACATGATGAAGTTGATTCAGAAGACCCAGCTTAACTTCATTCTCTCCCTGTAAAGGTCATACTGTTGTGCAACTTCACAAGTGAATGATATTGCACATCAAGTGGATAAGAAAAGTACTACAAGGAAAAATGTCTGTACTTTGAAAAATGTATTTAATTTACAAACATACAGTAGTATCATACTGCATAACGGTTTGCAAAATTCTCCATATGGCATTTGTCTTGTCTGTGAGAACCATGTGTCTTCAGAATCTCAAGCTCATTGCCTCTTCTTATTTTCCAGTTGGTTGTTGTTTATCAAGTTGAAGGAAGGTAGAGAAGGAACACCTAATCCTTAAGCTTTCCTGAAAATAAATGTTGGAGATATATGGGTTTTACAGACGGCAACTACGTCCCATCTATTTTGGTTGTTTTGTGGCACTGTTTTTCTATTTAGTTGAGTTATTTTAAATATAACTTGACATATTTGATCATCCGTTTAATTACCAGCATGCAATCCTTTAGGACCCACCTTTGTATGAATGTTTTTAATCTTTATTATGTTAAGGTATTTTCATGAGGTGTTAGCCTTTTTTTATGTCTTCTCCCCAAATTTCGTTTTTCTTTACCTGGTTGAGTTACTGGTTCTATAGATTTGTAGCAGAACAAATCATACTATTCATATGCTGTACCATGGAGGTGATTATATGTCTCAGATGTGCTTTCCTCCTCCCACACGCACACCTAGATATTCTTTTAAAGGCATCCTCGACCTATTTTCTCCGCTCAACAAGAAGGCGTCTTACTAATTTGCACATGAAATGGCCCAGAATCCATAAAGAGTCTCCAGCTCAGAGTCAGGGCATGCATCCTGCTCAGCCTGCTTTCTCTTCTCTTCTCTTCTCTTCTCTTCTCTTCTCTTCTCTTCTCTTCTCTTCTCTTCTCTTCTCTTCTCTTCTCTTCTCTTCTCTTCTCTTCTCTTCTCTTCTCTTCTCTTACAGGACACATTTTGCTCAGAGTCACTCTCTTATTCAGTCCTTTTTTCCATGGTACTAAATAGAGTTTGGCAAAATGCAACAGCAATGCTTTCTTACATCAGAAAGTGCAACACAAATGTCTTTAAGATGATACATTAAATAAGAAGCATATTATATCTTGACATTTCTTTGTTATCCATGTAAACAAGGAGGGACGAGTGGACAGTTTAAACTTTTAATGTATCTAATTGTGTTGCAGGCCATCGCTGCCCACCTGGCCATGCGTGTCCACTCGGTAGTGCTGAGCCGGACATATGTAGCCCTGGCACATTTCAATCTGTTTCTGGACAACACACTTGTAACAGCTGCCCACCAGGTAATTAACTCACATTTGATGAAGTGAACACAAATATACAAAGTGAACTGAAGCCTATAATGATTCAAATATGCATTACCATGGCCAGGATTCTACTGTATGGAGGGTTCAGTTGTGCCATCTCCATGTCCGATGGGCAGTGTGAGTGCATCAGCTGGCAGGACGTCCCTGGCTGACTGCCCCCCCTGCCCCTCTGGCTCCTTCTGTAACAGCAGTGGCCTGACAGAGCCGTCTGGACCCTGCAGCCCAGGTTTGACAGACCAGCATGACCATGGGAAATGGTTTCAGAAAATTGAGTTATACAAGTGTCTTTTCCTCTCCTGTATTTCTTCACTGAATTGAGCCACAGTTTCCCATGAATGTTGCAGGTTGTCAGTGAGATGTCTAATAGCATTGTCTACCACAGGACATGTTTGTTCCCTGGGGTCCACTGAGCCTTCCCCTGTCTCGCAGCCTTACGGAGATGTTTGTCCCATGGGGCACATCTGTCCACAAGGTAGCGGGTTGCCAATACCCTGTCCCGCGGGCAGCTTCCTCCCAGAGCCTGGAGCTTCCTCCCCCACTCAATGCCGCCGTTGCCCCCCAGGGAAATACTGCGTCAGTGTTGGAAGCTCACAGCCCACAGGTGGGGGATTTCACCAGGTTTCCAGTTAGTCAAGGAGAGTTAGTCTTATCATCGAGTGCCAACTGTTTAAAATCCACGTGTCATGCTTTAGATGTAAATCACAACTAAGTGCAGGGTCATTTTTCTAGATGCCTGAATTGCTGTGCACATGAACAATTTTTTCTGGCGATTAAATACATGTATAATGAACTGATAAACTAGGAGGACATAATATGTGATGGATAGTCTTTCCATGTTTTATATGACCTCCTTGTGTCAGGTCTGTGCTTTGCAGGTTTTTTCTGCTCTGGAGATACAGAGAGCCCCACACCTCGAGCAAACTCCGCTTCATTGAGCTGTCTTTGTGAAATACTGGAGGATTATACACCGAAGACAGACGCCGCCCTCTGGATTCACAATCTGTCTTGCTTCAATAACTCCCGGAACTCTGGTAAAATATGTGTCTCTTGATGTAATAACACAGCAAATGCATCCTTTTAAAAGGGCATGACTTTCTTTATTTCTTTATAAATTATTCAACTAGAGCACAAAGCCTTGCATGTTTTGATAAATGTCCCACAAAGCAGTAGCATTTTCAGCCTAACCTTCCCCTCAAGAAGTCTACAATTAATCTTTCTCCTTTCAGTGTTACATTTTTGTATTTATTTTGTTCTTTTGGCAGTTTGAACTGTTTATTCAGCATTTACAGAGACAAGAGAAACGCCTTTTTTGGTTTCCTCTCTGCAAGACAAATATACTAACTGGGACATCTCTCATGTTGTATTGACTGTGTTCTATTATAGGAAGCAAAGCTGGCTGGATTGAAGTGGTAACGCCACCTCGGGCAGATTCAGACAGCATTCTGAGTGACTCACCGCCATGTCTCAAGAGTCCACGTTATACCTGCTCCACCTACAGAGGAGACATATGCCCTAAGGGTGGGTACATCCTGACAGTGAACCTGTGTTAGCTTGATGTGATACTTTGTTTATTGCTTCAGGTGCACATGCTATCTTTCTTGCTCATGACATGTTTGTCCCATATACTCAAATGCTGTGACATATGACTGATTTGATCTTATCTGTACAGTCTGTGCATGATAACCCAATGTAATACCTCTTCATCTTTGTTTTATTTGAACACTCAAATAATACATTAAATGTTACTTTTTTCATTAAAAAACCGCTGATGGTTATTCAAAAAGAATAACCCTGCTCAAAAACCGTGTTTTTTGAAGGTTCACATTCCCATTTATAAAGACCTGAAAGCCTAAAGATGGACTTCTCTCTTGAGGAGCTGCAGATGGTTTGGTGATGGTGCGCATACAAGAGAAACACACAAAAAGAACGAAACAGCTATACACGAAGAAAATAAGAGTGTGGGGATTAAAAGCTATATTCTGAAAAAATCCTTCATCTCTAGAGGAACTGTGGGCTTAGGAACATTAATCCTCCTGATTGGACTTTGGATCTTGCTGAAGTTGATGTATTTCAGTGATACTTTCCATGGCTATTTTTCAGGCTTCTATTGTCCTTTGGGCTCTGCATTCCCCCTACCCTGTGAGGCTGGCTCTTACTGTAACAAGACTGGTCTGGATGTCCCGACAGGACCCTGTGCGGCAGGATATTACTGTCCCAAAGGCTCTTTAAACCCCCATGCCTCCCTTTGTCCCCCGGGACACTACTGCCCCCCTGGAACTCTTCTTCCTCTGCCTTGTCCTGTTGGAACCATACAAAGTGAGATCCAACCCTTTTTTGATATAGTTGTAATTGTTTTATTGATATCATAATATCATATATTTAGTTATAAAAATACTTTGTGTTTGATATATCTTTTCTTAAAAACAGGCAAGTCATTAATCCCTTGGGCTCGTTTGGTCATGAGGAGATGATGTATGAGTAATAAGACACATTGCTAAACAGAGAAATACAACATCTAATCCTCTTTGGTGCACACATTGTCAGTGTTGCACGCTCATGACCTTACATGAACTGGTCTCTGTCATTGCAGTTCAGTGATGCGGAGAAAATTAAAGCTTCCATTGAAGCATTTTTATCTCCCTTGGGCGCCTATGAATAATTTCAGTAACAAAGTATTTTAATCGTCTAATTGTATTCTTGTCTTGCGGCGGACAACTAGAATCATATTAAAATGTGCTGTAGCTCTTTGTATGGTTATGAATTAGGAACTGACGAGGGAATATATATGTGCTTTGCATCATATTAACATTGTCTATTTTAAGTGCTTTCATTATGCCAATTTTGTTTTCAAGTCAACAAACACTGTGGGCACATTGAGATAAATATAGAACAATATTTAATTGAAGACTTAAGTACTGTATATCAATTTATGAGTTCATTTTCAATTGTGTGCCAACCATCAGGCTCCTTGGGTGGCCCTACAGTGGAGGCTTGCCAGCAGTGTCCTCAAGGTCACTACTGCCACCAGAGAGGAAAAACTGAGCCAAGTGGCTGGTGTGCAGAAGGCTACTACTGTCCTGAGGGGCAGAGCGCTGAGAGACCACAACAAAATGTCTGCTCAGTGGGACATTATTGTGAGAAGGTCAGCCATCCAGTATTGGTCTGCCAGCTATTGTCTGTTATCACTGCTGAATATTATATGTGATGTGTCTGCATGAGTCTTCCTTCTTATCTATAGTTCTTTTTCTGTCGTGACAAGTGCATTACCGCAAACAATAAGTCAATTGATGTTTTCTTCCTGTTTTGTCATACCATCTCAGTCTTCTTCCTGTGTTGTGGCTGTCTCCGTCTCCACTGTCATTGTTGCACCATTGTTATGTTTCATGTATGTTATTCTGCAGATATTGAGTCTAATGTTTTATTCAATGTTTGCTTCAGGGCAGTGTCAAACCGACTGCTTGCCTTCCAGGCAGCTACCAGCTGAGACAAGGCCAGGGCTCGTGCGAGACATGTCCTGCTGGTTCCCATTGTCCAGATCAAGGTAAAGCTGACAGGTGGACAAACTGTTAGATTACAAAGCAGCTAGGAACATATGCAAATAATATTGACACTTCAAAAGTCAATTCCTTTTCATTCTGTGCCCCATCTGTACATCAGGAATGACCATTCCAATGCCATGTGAGAGAGGATTTTATTGTCCCAGTGGATCAGCCAATCAACATCCCTGTCCCGCAGGAACCTATGGAAACAAGTCAGGAATGGTTGAGGAATGGCAGTGCCTACTTTGTGACGCTGGGGTGTACTGCAAAGGAACAGGTACAATGACTCCACTCCTGACTCTATTAGTGTTGTGTTATTTGTTCTCATAAATATCTATCTTTCTAAGAGCTGTGGTATTTAGTGATGTCTTTTAGAAACAATTAGAGGTGAATTGCTGCTCTGTTGTTAGGGTGATAAACCTTGCTTGAATTATTCTTATTTAAAGGGAGGACTTTCCCCAGTGGGCCGTGCACTGCAGGGTTTGTTTGTGTTGGTGGAGCTTCTGAACCTTCACCACTAGACAATCTAACTGGATTTCCATGCCCTCCTGGCTTCTTCTGCTCTGTGAGGACTTCAGTACCAAAACCATGCCCCAAAGGAACATTCAGGTGCTTTTCCTGCAATTTCTCTATATACTATAATCTATCTGTGATGACAACTTACCATTTGTTTTTCACAAAACAAAATATATGAACTCTTACACTACACTCTACACTACTACAGTGCATGGTTACTCTATGAATATAGTAGTCATATTTGAAAATGTGAAGATGTCATCAAATTCACATAGATGACAATGCATCTGGAACATAATGATTTGTATGTATACATATTCAAGTTATAAAACAAGAGATTTGAAGTGATGTAATACATCATGATATAATTTGACTATTAAGTTGTTTGTCCTTAAAATGCCTCTTTTGACAGTAAGCAGAGCGGGCTTGTGGATGAGTCTCAGTGTCGTAGCTGCAGTCCTGGCTTCTACTGTTCAGAGACAGGCCTCTCTGCAGTCTCTGGAGCCTGCCTGCCAGGTCAAAATCTGACTAGTTATTCAGTCATGCTAGTGCATTGCATAATCTTACTTGATATAAATGTTTAGCTTTTCAAACATTTTATGAAAATCTTTCTCCCCAGGTTTCTACTGTCTCGAGGGGTCCCATACTGCCACTCCAATGTCAAGTGTATCTGGTGGTGTTTGTCCAGCAGGCCACTATTGTGCCGAGGGCAGCATTGTGCCCTCACCCTGCCCAGCTGGCTCTTACCAAAATGAGACCAGAGGAAAAGGCAAAGATTACTGCAAAACATGCCCGCTTGGTAAGCAGGATGAAAACATTATATAAATATAACTCTTACCAACTAACTTTATACTGTACAAAGTCCCTTGTCCTCTCCAAAGACTTCATGACAGTTTGAATGTCTTTGCCAGGCTCGTTCCAGGATTTAGCCGGCCAGAAAGAGTGTAATCCCTGTCCTCCTGGGTTCCACTGCCAGTCCCCGAGTCCCAGCGCCACAAGGGGGAGCTCCACTGGGGTCTCCAACCCTCTGCCCTGCCCAGCCGGCTACATCTGCCCCAGGGAGAGTCAGCCTGTCCCCTGCCCAAAAGGCACCTACAGCCCCAGCCATGGTCTCACTTCCACAGGTAAAAACCCTTTGTGGAAAAACACAAATAATGGAATTAAATTGCGCAACTGTCTGGCATTATTCTTTCTTGAAAAATAATAGGGCTAGGGTTACATTGATTCAGAGAGTTAATGCCTTGCTAAGGTAGACATGTTTTGGTGTTCCTGAGGGCTTCAGTCAAATTGGATGTTCCTATTAGTCTTTACGTAAAAACACTGAAATCTGAATGAACTGTCTACAATAAAATAAAACCTTTTCAAGGCTGGCAAAATATGATTGGTCTTCTTGAAATGAATGATTGCCTTAATGAAGTTGAATTGAACACATTGGCATCTCCAGCAGTGTGCAACCGTGTTGGAGACATTGTGATTGATCCCACCTGGCATGTAGCTTGTTTTGCTGTTTGGCCCGAAGTCAAAGCTGTCAATCTGTGTTGGCAGGCGAATGCCTAGTGTGTCCAGCGGGTCAGTTTTGTGGATCAGAAGGTTTGATTCAACCTTCAGGATCGTGTGCTTCTGGGTTCCTCTGCCTGATGGGGGCCACCGTGCCCAACCCGACTGACAATACAACTGGATCTCTCTGTCCACCCGGGACTTTCTGCCAACAGGGGCTGAGAGCAGGTATATGGAAGACATTTCTCCTGATTTGATTAATTTTGAAGATGATATCCTCCATTTGAATTGGTAATTATCCTTTTTGTGCTTTAGGTGATTGCTGGCCAGGGTTTTATTGTGACCGGGGCTCTAGCAGAGCAGATAACGCTTTCTGCCCGGCTGGTTTCTTCTGCCCCAGTCGAACACCAGTCCCTATGCCTTGTCCTGCAGGGACCTTCAGCTCTGCAATTGGCAACACACATCAAAACAACTGCACCTCCTGTTCCCCTGGGTATTACTGTCAAGGTGGGAAACATTGATTGTCTTTGAGCTATCTTTTGCAAGAGGCAGAGGATTTTCTTTATTCAACAGTCATATAGTGAGGGATCCATACACTGATGATTAAAGATTGTGATTCATTTTCACTCGTCACAATAGATTAGCATGCAGTGCTGCCACAGGACATGTTTTAATAAGGGACACAGATATGATCAGAGACATGTTGAAAGGACACAAATGATTGGCTAGTGCAGAAAATGTACAAGCCCATATGTTCCCTTTTAATGAAAGCTACAAATTCACACCTATTCTATGGGGATTGTCCAAAGTCACTCTCGGAAGCTTATTATCCCACTAATTCAAGCAGAGTTAATACATCTTGAGGTAAAATAGGAACAGCTAATGGACACCTTTCTTTATCTTAGTTAATCTAAATGACAAATGATTTGACAATGTCAGATCATCCATTTATTTAATTATGCAGCTGTACCTTTTCAAAGTCAAGGACATTAGACAATCATAAGGTGTGGAATTGTGTTCAATTCATTATTCACCTTAATTCTTCTCAGATGCAGGTTCTGTACAGCCTGCTCTGTGTCCAGTCGGATATTACTGTCCTCCCGGCCTGACTCTAGGACTGGAGTTCCCGTGCCCACCTGGGACTGTGCAGAGCCAGATCGGAGCCTCCAGCCCGGATGCCTGCCTGCCCTGCCCCGCTGGTGTGGAAAGAATGAGTGTTTGTTCTACATCATCATAACCCAAGCCTTAATTGATAACAATTATGAATAAATAAATAAACTGCATGTGCACAGAGAGGTTACAGTGTTTGAAATCTTAATAATGACAAATACTTTATTATTTTGGTGGTTCCTGCAGGAATGTTCTGCTCTCAACCTGGACTGTCGCAGCCAACAGGACTCTGTGAGGGAGGGTACTTCTGTCCCGGGGAATCAACCAGCCCTAACTCCACTGAGTATCAGGTGCTGTTCTTTTCCCCTGTGGCCTCAGTTAGTTTGTAATCTGAAGTTGTTGGTCAGTAGGTCCTTGTTCTTAGAGATGGATTCTTAATGATACTGTTGACCCAATGACCTTTTATATAATGAAAAAATCCAAATCTGAGTGGAAATTGCCTGAGCACATTCATGCTTCCTTTTTTTCATTTTTTACCCATTATCTCACTTTTAACAGCACCATCAACTAAATGTCAACTTCAGAAGATATCAAATATGGCTGCATTTACATTTAATTAGCTATCCTTATTGATGGTGCCTTGGTGGTGAATCACTTTTCTCTAACACAAAATAAAGCCTCAAGTTCCACCGGGAAGCATGAAATACTTAAATGTACAGACAGAGATGTAACATTTCGGCCACCATATTGGTCACTCAAACCAACATGCATTGACGATATTTATGATGTTTGTACTATTTCAGTATTCATATCATGTTGAAAATACATCTAATTAATCTAGCTCCTCTAAAAATATTGTGGTTTTGTGTTCTTTAAAGGTCTGTGTTTTAAGTATCAGCCTCGGGAGACCTCACAGAAGTAGTAGACTTTGGATGCGAGCTGAATGCTTACTTTACAGTAATATCAAGGTTCAAGGTTCTTTATTGTCAAACTGACATAGCTACAGAGTAATTATGTCGTTGAAAATCTTATGTCACAGGCTTCTCCAACAATGCAACATAATAATAAAAAGTAAAATAAATACACACAAAATACGAATAATATGTATTGTTAGTATTTTTGTACACACATGTTGTTGATGTTCAAATATTTAGATGTTTTCCTAATTTCAGGGGAACTCTACCAGAACCTACATCTGTCCTTCTGGCCACTACTGCCCCTCTGGAACTGGCTTTCCGCTCCCCTGCCCCATAGGCTCACTTTCCATCTTCAGAGGACTGAAGGCAGTTGATGGATGCCCACCCTGCCCCCCTGGACTGTTTTGTGACAGGCCTGCAATAGCAGAGCTCTCAAATGCCCGTCCATGCAGTGCTGGGTAAACACGATTGTTCTTCTGCTTTTTCACTTTTAAATATTTGGGGCGAGGATGTCACCCAGCTTTTTGGTGTTGTCCAATGGGTACATGTATCATTTTGAAGTTGACTTAAATGTTTTCAACTGACCTGTTTTGCTTTAAGTTAACCTTCTCTTTCTTTAAAAAAGTATATCCCAGTCTTTCCCTCTGCTTTCAGTCCTTCTCTACTGCAAATTGGTCTTTCACCTTATTCCTTGAAAGTAGTCGGATGTATTTGTAGGATTTAAAAATGGATTGAAAGGGCCGATCCGATATGCCGGGAAGATATCTTGTCTTCAAAAATCAATTTCAAGGCAGTACACATACATTGTAAAATCTGAAAAATAATTGGGCTATTAAATGTGAGTCTGTTGATCCTCAGATGGAGAGGGAGCAGGGGGGTATACTACGAATCAAGATTTTCATAGATAGGTTCCAGGATAAAAGCACTGCCTGCTGACCAATCAGAGCTCAGTGTGCGGAGTTTAAAGCGATCAATTCATATGACAGGAGGAGAAAGGAAATACAGTTTAAACTGCCGTTGCAGGAAAGACTGCCGGCCAAAATCACCGACTGTGTGAGCGTGAAAATTAATAGAATATCCCCTCCCATCTTCAGAGCAATCTGACTATTATAACATTAGCGTTAAGAAAGCTTACTTAAATATTTGCCACAACATAAGTAACCGGATCAAAGTAACATTACGTAGCCTACAGTCCGCGGCACTGTGAGTGCAGACGGCGATGTGTCCCATTATCATTCATATCACATGATATCACATCATAATGTATCATATATTTCCTTATCTGAGTCAGCTTCTTGAGCCGTATCTGGCGTGCAACACTCACAGTGTCACATACTGTATGCAGAAGTATTATTTTAAGCAACACATTAAGTTGATGAAACACTCGAGTCAAATGTAATTAAAGTCAGATCCACTCGTGTCGGGGCAGCAGTGATATCATAAAACTGTTAATGAACGCTGTTAATTTATCCAGGATACAGCTGGTAAAAGAAAAAGTGTTTGAATACGTTCATTAACAGTTTTATGATATCACTGCTGCCCCGTCTAAGACACGAGTGGATCTGACTTTAATTACATTTGACTCGAGTGTTTCGTCAACTTAATGTGTTGCTTAAAATAATACTTCTGCATACAGTATGTGACACTGTGAGTGTTGCACGCCAGATACGGCTCAAGAAGCTGACTCAAATAAGGAAATATATGATACATTATGATGTGATATCATGTGATATGAATGATAATGGGACACATCGCCTTCTGCACTCACAGTGCCGCGGACTAGGCTACGTAATGTTACTTTGATCCGGTTACTTATGTTGTGGCAGATATTTAAGTAAGCTTTCTTAACGCTAATGTTATAATAGTCAGATTGCTCTGAAGATGGGAGGTGATATTCTATTAATTTTCACGTTCACACAGTCGGTGATTTTGTCCGGCCGTCTTTCCTGCAACCGCAGTTTAAACTGTATTTCCTTTCTCCTCCTGTCATATGAATTGATCGCTTTAAACTCCGCACACTGAGGTCTGATTGGTCAGCAGGCAGTGCTTTTATCCTGGAACCTATCCTGCTCCGGAGGCTAGCCGTTCAGAATAAGTTATCTAGCCTGCTAAAAAGTGAACCAGCTTCGTATGACCGGAAACCCCTGAAGTTAGCTTGCTAAACGAAAATCTTGCTTCGTAGTATACCCCCCAGGTGTCTTCAGCAGGATAAGATCCACACTTGAAACGCATATTTATTGCATTGGGGCCCTGCAGTAGATAAAACCGGCTTTAGAGCACCTTTAGCACTTCAGTGTGGCTGCTGCTGTTTGGTTTATAAGCTGTTAATAAAATGTCTGAGAAGAAATTGACCTGGTGTAAATGTAATTTAAATTGAATGCATTTTAAAGACATTTATTCTTTAAATCCATATTTTTTGGATGATATTTCCTCACTGACAGATTGTTCAACTTTTTGGATGGCAGCCTGTGGCAATATTTGTGATATAAAGTCAGTTTTCCCTTTGCTTTTGTTTATGCCTACAGGTATGTTTGCCTTGGTGGCAGCTCCAGCCCCATGCCATCTGACAGTTCCCATGGCTACCTCTGCCCCGCTGGCCATAGCTGTCCTGTTGGCTCTGCAGTCGAGGTGCCCTGTGAGCCCGGCACTTACAGTCCTGCCCCTGGAGCTGCCTACTGTATAATATGCCCCGAAGGGACCATGTGTTCTTCCTCAGCCACTCAAGAGACCTCAATCTGCCCAGCTGGTGAGGGTGGTGAAATACACTTTGAATGTAGAGTGTAAATCTGATATCTTACCATTATACATAAAGCAGAAATGTTGGCAACTGGAAGAATGTACAAATCTGCAGTCGAGTAAAAGCAATAAGCAAAGTGCTCTTTTCCTAGGTCATTTTTGTCCTGCGGGGACAGCCCTGCCACAGCGCTGCCCTTTAGGGACTTTCAGCAACCAGACAGGTGCATTTTCTCTCTCTGTCTGCACACCATGTCCCTCTGGACTGTACTGTGGCTCATATGGAGCCTCAACACCACAAGGTGACCACACGCAAAGATATATCACATTATTTCAGCCTTTTATAAAATGTACACACACTCAACCTTGGAATTTGGATTTTGTTTTGTCTAGGTTCTTGTTTGCTGGGTTATTTTTGCCAAGGTGGAGCCATTGAGCCAACCCCACAGAGCTCTGACAAGTTCCCCATGAATGGCCCTTGCCCCCTGGGCCACTACTGTCCATCAGGGTGCCTCTCCCCAGTTCCATGCCCTCTTGGCAGTATTCGCAACACCATCGGTAGACCTACTGTTTACACTACTCACAAAATGGCAGTTTCTTTTATGTTAGAGTCACACCATTGTGTAATTAATGGAATCATTTGATATCCGTATCATCTTTTTAATTAGGAGCTTGCGTTTGCATTTGAAAGAGGTCCTAATGGGTTTCTGATCTTTTCTGCTCGTCTGATCTGCATCACTGTTGTCATAGGAGGGGTTTCCATGGAGAGCTGCTCTGCCTGTCCTGTTGGTCACTACTGCTCCACGGAGGGTCTGGCCAACCCCAGTGGCCCCTGTGCTGCTGGTTTCTTCTGCCCTTTTGACTTCTCCTCAACCACTCCATATGCCTTCCTCTGTCCTAAGGTAAGGGTTTTTCATATTGTATTTGATAAACCTCATTCCACTTGCTGGCGGTAGCCATGGCCAAAAACATTATGTTTTCAGGGTGTCTTTCCTTATGATACCATGCACTTGGACTCAAGGATGATCCAGTTAGTCGTCAACGGAAAATGTTTTGGCCATAATTTAAGAATTATTGTAATAATTATAATGATATATTTACAAATATCTATAATAGTCAAATGAGGAAAGTTATGAACATTTTGAATGAAAAATGTTGAAGTTTAATACCAACCCCTTTGTAAATTACATTCTCTCCTAGGGCCACTATTGTCCAGAGGGCTCTGCCCTGGCCTTGCCTTGTCCCACAGGAGAGTACCAGCCAAACCCGGGATCAGATAGCTGCATCCCATGCAGACCTGGGTTCTACTGTGAGGAGGCCATAGTGGGAGAGCCATGGCCCTGCCCACCACACTCGTTCTGCCCTGCAGGTACTCTACGGACAATTTATGACTGAGTGGATAGCAAATTATAAACCATCCTGATTCCCAAATAACACACAAAACGCTTCTCAGACTAAAAACAGCACATTCCTTTTTAGTAATAACATGTAATAAATCATGCTTTTAGTCAACTGTCTACTTCATTTTCTTTTTCAGGAACAATGGTGCCTCAACCGTGTCCTAATGGCACTTATACTCATTCAAACCAGGGAGGGCTACAAGAAGAGAGAGAGTGTTTACCCTGCCCTTCAGGGAGGTTCTGCAGGTACACTGGATGCACCACAGCCATGTGATTGCATGCAGAAGCTCTCAAATTTGCCTCACATTCACATCCATCCTGAAACACTAGTACTGTACACAGACACACTATTAGGCACATGCACATCCTGAACATACCTTCATACACACATGCTCAGAGGCAAACATTAATCTCCGCTCTGATTATGCTCCCAATTAGAATGCAGGAGTATATCACGTTCAGCTGTCATGGTTCACTGAACAGCACAATTAACACCTTAACATGAATGAATATAATTAGCGTAGATATGGGAGGTGGGAATGGTAGAAGCAATGTAATTATAATTCTATTTATCTAATGATTGATACATTTAGTTTTCTTAATGTGTGTATGTGTTTCTGTGTGGTTTTGTGAATAAACTAACCATGTGTATATTTTCTTCAGGGCTGGGAGGATCCAGGGTGTGTGTGCCGCTGGCTATCTTTGTGTTTCTGGGAGTGCAGATTTCACCCCTCAGGGACCCGTGTCTAATATGACCCAGTGCCAGTCGGGCATGCAGTGTGCTGGTCCATGTCCGGCAGGTACAGCAATTTTTGAAAGAAAACAACCCAAACCAACTATGGAAATGTATATTTATATACAAGGATTTACATAACTAACTCTAAGATTCCCTGAAATGTGAGATTAATTCTCTCATCTCTGCACCTTGGACAGGTTCAAATGTTATTCTTATTTATTGTAATGCTTTCTTTCAGGTTTCTTCTGTCGTGGAGGCACAGAGGAGGCTGAGTTGTGTCCTGCAAACACTTTCAGGAGCTCCCCAGGAGGTGCCAGCCTACAGGACTGCTTACCCTGCCCTCCTCAGTATTGGTGTCAACCTGGTATGAGTTGATAATGTTCTTTATATTTAAATAGTTGGTAATGTGTTTTTTATTTAAAGATACTGTTATAATGTTTTCAGGGAAAATGCAGAATGCTGTTTATTATTATATAAAGAAGGGTTTACGATGCTTAGACAGTTAAAAAATGATTTTCTTCTTTTCTTTGGTCTAGATGAGCAGTTTCCTGATGCTTTATAAGTAGCTTATTGCTTGCCTGTTTTCCTGTCGGGGAGTTAATTGAAGTCATTGTTAGTCTCATGTGTAAACTAGAATAAGTAGGTACCAGCATGATCTTGGCACTGGGACTGAATTAAATACAAAGGATGCAAATTGGAAAGACTTAAGAGAGCCCTGCCTTTAGAGTGGTTACTGAGCTTGAGATCATGAAGGGTTAACAGGGTAAGATAAGCAACTGATAAGCAACAGTGTAATAAATAAAATACTCTAACCATGAAAATATCTGAAACCAATTTCTTTCTTAAATGTTAGCATTCATATGTTTCTATTGCAGGAGACCCAGTCCTTCATCCGTGTCCTGCTGGTCTTTACTGTGATGGTCTGCCTGGCAGTGACTTCAATGGAGGGACGGGGCCCAGGCTGTGTCCTCTGTACACATATCGAGCCCACCCCGGGGCAGGCAGCAAGGGGGACTGCCTGGCCTGCCCGCCTGGTTCACACTGTAACAGCACAGGTCTGACACACTGCATTGATCTGACAACAAACACCAATTAAAACTAAACTGTTATAGATTCCTTTGAAATGCAAATGAAACCGATTCCTTTATTTCCCCCCGTTTTACTCAACGACACCCTGTGCCTGATGTATGATTGGGTGTAAAATATGCTCTACTAGTCATTTCTCTAGTGAGTTTGAATTTACATTTGTAAGGCCAGATCAAAGAGAATGACCTTTTTTAGGTTGTATTAATTTCAGTTTGTACGTACATTAATATACCAGTGCATGAGCCGTGCCTGAGATAAGAGGCGAGGAGGTATAATGTGAACAGTCGATTTAAAACTTGAGGCTATGGTAATTACATTGAGTTTTGGATTTATAAAATGAAATACTTTTTCTAATCTCTCTTTTTCTCTTCCTCAAACATAATTGAAAATATTTCAAAGTGAAGTCATATTGTTACCGTAGTGGTTGATTCCCCGGACATGGTGACCCCACCTCTTCCCCCTCTGGTTCATTTTATGCTAATATATTTATATTTCTGTTAGAGTGTCTAAAGTGATGAATAGGGTTTTCAGAAAGCTGTTATTTTCCAGGGCTTACAGACTCCTCCAACAGTCCCTGCCCACCTGGTTTTTGGTGCAGTGGATCCGGACCCTCCATCCTCTGCCCCGCGGGCACTAAGAGGGCCCTTCCTGGAGCCGCTGCACCCAGCCAGTGTGAACTGTGTGCGGGGGGGAACCTTCTGCCCAGACCCTCGGGCTACAGGGAAGCCCAATGTGGAGGGGATTCCCTGCAGAGCCGCTTATCAATGTCCCATGGGTAAGGTTATCGATACAATTTATAATGTTAGCTTGGTATATTGGATTCTGTAGGAAAAAACTCTGAGTCTAATGCCTCTCTCCCTGAGGCCATTTATGAGGTTTTGCAGTAATGAGTATCTGCTCATAATTTAGGTGCAGTAACAGAGAGGCTGTGCAGAGCTGGCTCATATTGTGGACCTCAGACTGCTGAGCCTGAAGTCTGTCCTGAAGGGTATTTGTGTCCTCAAGGATCTCATTCCTACCAAACCCCAAAGCAACTGTGAGTGCATGTAATGTCTAATATTGCAATACCTGGATTGCAAACTCATGATGTACATTGTGTATTTCTTATTATGTGTCCTAACTACAAAGCTGTGAATGCTATTGTGATGAGGCAAATTCCTAAAGTATTGAATCTTGAATCATCTTGAATCATACATTACTTAGAAGATATCAAACAAAGTTTTGGAAGTAGAAGGATTGTTTATGGACATATCTCACCAAATGTTGGGCAGAGAACATTCCTTTGCCTTCAGGTAATGTTATAAACACGAGAGGTACTCTCTAGAGACAGTGTTTGGTTTGTCCCTTCTGGGCTACTGTAGAAACACAAAATGCTAAATAGTGGACTCCAGGGAAAAGAAGATTTTCCCCGTTTAGATAGAAAGGGGCTCATCTAAGCTAAACAACAACACAATGATTTGTTGTTTCAGGTGATTATGCATAAAGAGTATGTTATGAATAGTTGTGAATAATAAATATATATATATATATATATATATATATATATATATATATATATAATATATGATGTATGCCAATAAGTCTTACACACTAGTCCTTGAACGTTTAAAATAGTGAAAGCTTAATGGATTTGGACTGATGTTACACGGTGTGAGTTAAAGCTTTATAAATAACCCTGTTACCATGTCCCACAGCTGTCCATTTCCCTACCACTGTCCAGCCAACAGCTCTTCCATGAAATCCTGCGATGGCGGTTTCATGCCTGTCAACACCAGCGGCCTCAGAGGATCCAAAAACAGCTGCTGCACTGTGTGTGACGAGGGCACCTATCGTCAGTACCTCTCCCCCATCCAAAAATGCCTTCCATGTCCTGCAGGATACTTTTGTCCCTCTGGTACTTTACTCACCACCACAAATCCTCTAGAACTCAATTTATATGTACAGCATTTGATATTTCATGCCTAACTCCAAATAAACTGTGATTTTGTTTATATAAATGTGTGGCTAAATCCAACAGGTACAGACAACTACAAGAGTAACCTTTGCCCTCTTGGGTATGTCTGTCCCACCGGATCCACACAACCAATACCCTGCCCTGCTGGCTCCTTTGGCAACCTCCCTCTTGCTAAAAGAATGGGTAACTGTCAGCCATGTCCTGCTGGCACCTTCAACCACCTGCCTGCTCAGAAGGCCTGCTTTCCCTGTGGCAGCTCCTCCACCTCACCAGCAGGTTGGATACTATCAGATGTTTCCAGATATCTCAGAACACATTAAAAGCTTGTATCTGAACAAATATTATGTTTATTTTCTAGTTTTAAATGTAAGTTACAGTTTCAAAAGTGTTCTACTTAAACATATCTATTTTGATCATATAGCAGTGCTGTGTCACACTTGTTTCCTCAGGTTCTTCTTCTTGTACCTGTATTGGTAAGAATCGAGCATTCCAGCACTCTGATGGTTCATGTTTGTGCAGAACTGGTTTTATCTTCTACAATGAACTGGATTTCAAAAGCTCTACGTCTGACAGTGAGTTGGACTGCCAGCCTGAGGTCAGTAGCCTTAGTTACTCTTAATTAGTGTATCAAATGTACACAGTGGTTCATCTTTGGACAGATTCAACAAATTGTGAATGGAGAAGTATAAATATGGAGACATACAAGAAGCATTTGAGCAACCCCTAACTGGCTTGATGATTTTACTTTTTAATTCGATTTTTTCTGTACATTTTTAAATCAGTAAAAGACGAGATAGGGAAATACTCCAACAAGGTCTGTATGTTTTAAGTCGTTTTTCATGTCTTGTGTCTGTGTGTGTGTTTTTGTGTGTTTGTGTGTGTTTCAGGCAAACAAGCGTTGTGCCACAGGTGAGGTACGTCTGGCAGACTCCAGAGAGTGTGTGTCACCTTCCCTCCACTCGTGTAATATCACCTGTGGACAACATGGAGGAAATCTTGATGTGGAGATGGGAATGTGAATATCACTTACACTTTTCAATTCAAATGTGTCTTATAAAAGTACACCGCAAAGTCAAATACAATGTAAAAAAGGATAGATTTAAGGAAAATGAATTTATGATTAGATTTTGATCTCTAAGTGGTAAACAGCCTCTTATGCTGTCTGTTTCTCTGTTTCTTGTCTTGTCCGCCTGACCCTGATGCCCCAGCTGCCAGTGTGAGCGATATGTGTCTGCTGAAGAGCTTTGCAACACTTCCTGCCTTTCCAGACTACCTCAGCTCTCTGCCCAGTTCTCTCCAGATGGACACCTGCTGCTCAGCCTCAAAGAAAGAGACAAAATGGTCTGGGCTAGGGTAAGGAAGTGTGACAGGGCCATTGACAGACTGATTGGCCCAAATTCAAGATTATGGATTTCCTATTTACCTTTTAAGTAATACTTGAAAGGATTCTTGATAGGATAGGGAGGATTTTCGGAATCTGCTACCACCAGATAAAAATGAGCACAAAACTAGTATTAGTATTGTCGTGATGCATCCAAAAAAACGTTATAGTCTGTAGGGGCTGGCTTGGACGGTAAACTGGCAGAAAGCTTGGCAAAGCATTTATCAGGGTCTCAGCAGGACACCTGGAAAAACAGTTGCAGCTGCACATTTTGGCTATATCATTGCATAATGGCGAAGGAAAAGTGATAAATAATGAAAGTGTTTCTCCTTGCAGAAAAATGCTTTTAGCAGTTCAACAAAATTGCTACTTGGGGTCATAAATTCAAGCTAGTTTCATCATCCATGAATCTGCATATTTTTTGTGCACAGGCTTTAGTGGCTGTTTAGAGATATTTAGCTCCCCAAACTCTTTTTTCATTTTCATTTCAATCTTTATTTCGAACAGATTAAAAAATAAACAAATACAAAATAACAAATGTGAAAAACAGAATACCGTATTGTTAAAATACAGTATTTATCCACATTCATGATAATATTTATATATTCAACAAAAAAAGTCTTCATATTAATAATAATAATTAAAAAAAATCATATGTGTCCGAAAGGGAGTAGGAAGAAGCAAATGCTTATTAATTCCCACCCCTTACTTGATCAATGATTGTCCTTTAAATCATTATGCAAGTTATTCCTATTTACATTTACATTTATACATACATATACAATAATTTCTCATCTTCAATCATCTCTCTTCATTCTCATAGTTTTCCAAAAAAGTGTTTCTGTACATCCTTTTAAACTGAATTATGCTTGTGCTTTGTTTAAACTCCTGCTCCAATCTCTTTATCTGTGCAATATCATAACAAAAGTATTTCTCTCTAGTACAGGACATTTAACTACACTTATATACACACCACACCATTTTGTTTTAGATGTAACAACCATTTTACTATCATTTACATGTTTAACAATGAAAAAAACACTTTTAAATATGAATATTCCCAATTATTTAAAACAGACATCAAAGCATACAATAAAAAGAGCCACTTACTCCACTTTCTAGACTAGATTTAATAATCAGAAATATGGAGAAAGTGTCACAGTTGTAATGTTAATGGGACCCAGTGTATTTCCTGTTGCACTGTATGTCACATAAGCTGAAAGATTAAGCTTGTTTTTGTTTACTTCCAGACTGTAATGAATGTTTTAGGACCAGATTTCCACGCAACCAATATTGGTAAAATCCATTTGGTCCAGTTCGACCCTGAAGGCGTGTTTGGTTGGATTCCTACACAAAGAGAGCTCATCAATCAGTTCCTGTCGGGTGACTGCTCTTAACTTGTCATGATGATTTCATGTTATTGTTCCGATGTATAGGAAAAAGTTGAAAACGCAACTTTAGTGTCTAAACCCTGAGCATGTACCTTTACTCAGAACCAATAGAAGTCCTAAGTACAAGACCCAGACAAAGGAGGGAGACAAAAGATGATTATGATGCTGTCGTCTTTCCTCGTATCCCCAACCCCATCGCCTGTCTGTCCTCTGGTGACATGCTCATATTCCACCTCACCATCAACCACACTGGTACAGCATATTTTATTTTCCTTCATTTTGTTTTCATTATGACAGTTTGATTTATTATAGTTCTAAACATGGTAATCTTGCTCTCACTGTCACTGTCTTTATTACCCCAAGACCGCCGTCACAGCCACTTCCCAGTATATCAGAAAGACCACTTATTTAACAGTAACCCCAGCTGGGACTTTGGTGCCTTCAGGCGTCTACAGATTCTCATGAAGCAGACAAACTTCAACTCTACAAGGTAGTGTGAAGCGTGAAGTATAGATTATTTGAGTTCCCATTTTGTGACATCTCCCCCCTTTATCTAAAACATCTCCTTTTCCCCTCCTTTTATCAGGTTTGCCCATGTGTTTTTGGAAACAGGGAAGTATGTGTTTGTTGACAGCGCTGTGCCAGAGTGGAGTTTGGTGGTGGTGGTCAGTGAGGAGGGGACAGAGTGTGACCCCCGGGCCTCCGTCTTCCAGCCCATGACCCCGGCACAGCTGGTCAAGCACGGGATTGTAAAACAGCACAGACTCAACCTTCTACCTGACTGGGGAGTGATAACAGGTGTGTATCATACTGTTCCCTTATAATGTCTATTTATACATGTGCATGGTTGTAACAAGCTATTTTATTCTGCCACAATGCTAATACCTGTGTGTAGGGATCCTGAGTCTGCTGCTGGTTGTAGTTGTGGTTTTGACCACCACAGTTTTAGTTCTGCGACCTGGAAAAGCAAAACTTGTCTCCCAGTGGAGGGCTAAGCCGAAGTGGCGCAGCCTTGGGGAGCCCTTCAGTCCGGTGGATTGTGTTTGCAGTGGAGACAGGTTGGTTGGCTTTAAATCAATACTGATGGTTTGTTTTAGCCATGTGTCAGGAGACTGGTGTTGGGTATATATATACTGTAACTATCCATGTACTCTCTCTTTTTTTTCATGTCAACTTAGTTATGTCAATTATGTAAAATGCTGTCAAATATAAATATGTGGCTTTTTATTTGTGTTTCAGCATAGCAGTCCCAAGCCAAGGTGGTTACTTAGGTAGGAGGGGTGTAGGAGAGGGAGCAGAGGCTGAGGAGTCCGCTGTTTCAAAAGGAGGTGAGCTTGTTATACTGCAGTAAAGATTACAAATCAAATATATATTAAGTAATTGGTAAGTTTAGATATTAGTAATAGTAAGTGGTAATACAAATTCTAGTGATCAGTTTTTTTGCTCAGGTGCAGATTGTGGAAAATATTTGCAGAAAGGTCTAGAAATCTATAAGTAGAGTTGGCTTTAATGTTTCTCACTTATTGCTTATTGCATTATTCATGCTGCTTGATAGGGCGTTTACCGTTTAAGCATCTATTGGCCCGAGTCATTATGAAACCATCACGCATGACTAGGTAGCAGTTAACAGCCTATTCCACCATTTGATTGAAGAAAATAATGGCTAATATCCTTCTCTAATTGCTTGTGCTGTTATCTCTGGCTCTGAAGTACTTGTCAACCATCGCATGGAAGCATGCTGCATCCGGACGGTCTGTAAAAGCTACAGACGCTTCTGAATTGTTATTGAGCTCAGTCAAACAAGCTTTTGATTTCATGGTGCAGCAATTCATCAGAATAAGTATCTCATTAGTTCTTTGGGATGGGCTGATCAGACTTTCCCCCATATTTCAGCCCATTTCTAACTTGCATATTATTGACATCTACTCTTCCGATTTAGGAAGTGTGTCAGGGTTCTTCGATTTGGAGGAGTTAAATGTGAAGACTCTGTACGACAAACTAGAGGATCAGAACCTGCACATAGCCTCACAGCTGGCCCGGCACCGCAAAGACACACAGGAGTTTTATAGAAACATTTGTCAACAGACTGAAACACTCAAGGTGAGTTTTTTTTTATAGCAAAGGCATAAATTACTAAATTCAACACTTGTCCGTTAGATATGTTATATTTAGGACTTTTGGTTTTCTCAGGTTTCAGATTTCGTTTTACATTTTGTCTTTCAGAATGTCTTTGACAATATGGATCATAAAAAACTGAATCTTCTTAAGGAGCTTATAGTCCACAATGCAATGAGGGATAAACCATCTAACAGCATGGCAGGAGAGAGGGATACACAAGGTAAAGCTGAATGATGGTCATATCAGATTTCATCAAAGAATACTTTTTTCAAGAGCAATGGGCAGAACAAAAACAATTAAAGGACTGGATTGGCATTTGGGGAAGTACACTTAATTTCTTTCATGTCCAAAGTTAGAGGAGAAGATTTTATACCACCTACACTATCTGAGAAAAATATAAATATATGTCATGGTGCAGTGATTACTGAAACAGGGATAGCACTCAAATACATACTGTAAAAGAGGGAGAAATGTTGTCAGAGTCCAAAGAATGCATAGGGAATAGGAAACAGTGGGTGGTTGGGTTATGCAGATGAGGACGTCGGTGGAGAAGTCAGGCTGAGGGAATGAAGGAAGTGGAAGCAAGTGTGTGTGGGTGTGAAAGTTAGAAGATGGGGAAAGGAGGCATAAGACATCTGGTTAAAGGCAAATGTTAATTCATATTTTCTCTACTATTTTGTGCATGGGACTAAACATCCTGATCACTTCAGCTGAAGCATCTGTAGCGTTACTGGGAGCTGTTCTCAGGTCAGTGGAAGCCCTCTTATGCAGGCTCACAGGAGAAGCTTGGCAGAACCAGGAGTTGCCTGCTCCTCCATACTGTCATACTAGTGCTCATGATGCCAGGGAGTGTGAGCCGCAAGCTGGATACACACAGCCTGGTGACACCAACATGTGTTATACACAGGTAAGGTGGTGTTTTGTTTGATATTCCTGGATATGCTATAAAGTGGATCATAATATCAATGATCATATTACTTCAACAGTTTTCTTCAATGAATATGACCAAAGCAGAGCAAGGTAAGGAACAAATATGCAAAGGTGTGTTGAATTTCCAAGAGAACCATGATGTTATGTCCTCCAAATCTCATGATTCTGTCCTCTGCACAGCTCCTTGTCTAAGTGACCATGACCTGTCCAAGCTTGTCAGCATATCTCCTCTATTCAAGACCCTGCAGGAGATACAACAGTCTTTACAGAACCTTACAACAACTGGCTCGGATCAGCATCTTCATAATGGTACAAAATAAGCATCGAAGAAAAATGTAACTTTTAATGAATTACTCAACAAATTACAAATGCCTAATGAAGCATTTTTTCATATATTTGTATCCGCTACAGAGCATTGTGTCGTTGATGCCCAGAACCACGACAGGCCACTAGTCCCGACTGCCCTGGACAACCTCTCCCATCAACACTCGGCCGTGTTCCTGTTTGGTTGCCAGGTGATGCAGTTGCTCGCAGACTGCCCCCTGTTTCCCTCCGTGCTCCTGCTACTGGCCAAGTCGATCCCTGTTTCCTCATCTTCCTCTAATGAGGCTTTACTGGCGCATTGTTCAGGGGACTTTTATTTTGATGCAACCAATCAAATCCTTTATCTGTCAGAGGCAAAGCTTCAGCATGTGGGACATTTCATCGCTACTATTCTGCAGTCTATGGCCTACATAGCATCAGGTAATAAGATCGTTATTGAAGAGAGACTTGAGACCCAGTCATTGTTTGGCAACAGCCATGTAATACAGTTCAACAGCTTTGGCAATCATCTTTGAAATCACAAAGTATGTAAGCCTCTTTGGAAACAATATATGTATTTATTGTCTGTACAACTAGGATCCAAACCTCAGGGCTTTATGAAAGCTCTCCATGAGGCAATTTCAGCTGTAAGCCTTCAGCTGTTCAACATTTCTTTCAAATGGAACACAGCAGAAGTAAGTATGAGCTTTTAAGGTCTCACACATCATTCTCTTACTGCATGGGTTAGGGAAGATAACTTTGTATGCTTTCTTTTTACAGTCTGAATTTGATGCTTCAGAGGGGCGGCACGGTGCATTTGTTGAGGAATTTCTTAACATAAGAGTTCCCACTGAAGGGCTGTTCACTGAGCACCTGTTAGCTAGCAGGTTGGTGAGAAACATTCAAAGCCCCCAGCAAAGTGAAGTATTCCATTAGATAAATAATTTAAAAACTTGCTACCTTTGTTCCAATTTAGACTTCAAAAATATAAATATTTCAAGTTAGAGCAGCTCGTCACAAACCTGAAACGGAGTTCAACTGACAGCACGGACACAGGTAAGACCATTGTTGATTTATAGTAAGAACAAAGAAAATACTTTACAATATGCAAAATGATAACATGATCATTTCTCTGACTTAACCATTCACAGGATAGACAAAATATGTATACATAATAAACAAGTACTTTCCTAAACCTTAGCAGTTGTGCAATAACATTACATTTGACATTATGCATCTGTCACTGCAAAGTAAGTATTTTAATATGGCAATGGTACCAGATAGATTCTATGGTTAAATGAGTTAATTTATGCAAGCTTGATATGGCATATAGTCAATATAGCGCCATTTAAAAACCTGATGTCAGGAGAACAAACACATGAACCTTGACCAATATAAAAACCTAGGAAGGTCTGACTAGCAGTCCACTTATTTCTTATGCTTTCACACTGCAGCCATTGATCCATAACAGATTTGTCAGGCTATCTTGTGAAACCCATGAAGTTCCTATATTTTCCAAATGTAATATACTTTTATTCCCCACAAAAAGACACACATACAAACCAATAAAGACTTTTAATTGTGATTTCAAATTAAAGTCAGATGTTTTTCCCTTACTCCCCAGTCACAATATCTAGGCATCATTAAACCGTTAATGGCAGTTCTGTGGCGGAAAAGAGGGAAGCAGATTTTTACCTCCTTCGTCAACTTAAGAGAAATGTCCAATATCCCAATATACTGTACACACAGTTCAGGACTTCAATGACAGCATGCCAATCAGCAATGAAGTTGTTCAAGCATTAAGGGGTTGTGTTGCTAGGTACACAATAATCATATATTATTGGAGGATTTACTTATTGTGGGGGAAACTTCTGTGTAGCAATGCATTGGGAGTCACCGACTCAGGAAGGAGACACGGTGAGAGTTGGAGCTTTTGATGTCAAACACTGATGGGTTTATTCAGAGTATCGGCCGGAGGATTCACATCACAAGTCAAAGAGTCAGAGGTTCTGACTCCACGGTAGAGTTGCCACGTCAATTCTGAAGAGCCTCTCTCTATGCTAGACCTTTTAACTGGTTCACAGAGAGTAATCAACATCTCTGAAGGAGTAGACTAAACAGCTGGGAACACTGAACCACTTGCGTCCGACACTTATGGCCTCAAAGATTTCACACCTTCGAGTCCACAAACACCGATACAGAAGTGCCTCAGCGTTCTCACAACAATTACCATTCGTGCCAGACAAGTTGACCGGTCACAAACTGGTAACAACAACACATATGGCACCAATGCCTTTCCTTAAAGGAGATAACAGACGTCAGAGTAGATCATAAAACGTCACAGAGCAAAAGGTTAGATATCTAGAAGTATTATTCCTTAACACTTATTGTGTCTCTTAATTTTTCAGAATCTAAAGTCTTGTTTGATTTCTGTAGGTTTACCACCAAAAGGGACACCAATGCAGGTATCAATCAATTAGAAATCATAATCTTAATTTAGGGTATAGTCACTATCCTCATACCCCCCCGTGTTATGTCATCATCTCCTCCTCCTCCACAGATGTCCTGCATAGAGGAAGAAATTGACCGCATGACTGAGTCTTTTCTGCAGCTGAGTGTGCAGCAACAGAAGAGAGCTCAAATGAGCTCATGGCTGAAGGAGAGAGAGAGGAGTGCTGACAACCATTCTGCGGTAATTTGCCGAATATTTCATATTTTATTACATAATCCAAATAATTGATCGGGTTGGTAATTTGTGCTGGGAATATTTTAGAAAGTATCTTTTATAATTGAATTGCCTACAAATGTCAACATGCTCAAATGAACCCTGATGCTTATTTTATTTTCTCACTTCTCTATATTTTATAGCATTTCATAAATATGAATGATATATTACATTAAAACCTTTAGTGGATTTCAATCATTCAAGCATCATGCTGATATTCATGTGCTCCCATTCAGCCCTGACTAAAGGGGGACATGTGTGAATCACTATTAATAAATTCAATGCCTGCATATTTGCATTTTTGTGTTATTTCTTGACACAGTGTATGGATTCCCTTATAGATTTTTACCACACGCCATCTATAATGCATTCTCTAATAATGTCCTTATGCAGAACGCAACACCAACCAGCATGCCAAGCCTGAGTCGTAGTGGAACAATCCTGCTGGAACTGAAGAGGCGCTATGTATCACAGCGCCTCAATGAGCTCCAAATCACATTAGGCCAGATCAGACAGAGCCAGCAGCATGACAGCAAGTCAAAAGACGTGACAAGAAGCAGCTCACAAACAGACAGCATCACCACTCAGCAGGGGAACGGGGATCTTTACCCTGGCATAGAAGGATGCAGTCCTGCTGGCGGCCAGCGGAAGGATAGTATTCCAGCTAGCGAGGATCACAGCCAACAAAAGAAAAGAGCAGAGGTCTTGATAACTCTAAACTGGAGAGTCATATTTCCGACCAGCAGACCATCGACTCTGTTCAAAGACACAACCCTGACACATTACTGGACTGCCAGATGCTGGAGAGTCAAGATCAGCTGCATCTTAATGAAAGCATGAGATAAACAGTCGGATCACACAAGACAACACAACGGGACAAACAGATATTGATGACATGTGGGAGCCCAATGATCAGTAACTGGATCTGAATGTAAATCAATCCTGAGAAATGTGTTTCTCTTGCTTTTGTGTGCCTTGTTGTTGTTCTTTAAATAGCTTTACTATCTATGTACAGTTTGATATTCTGTCTTGTTTGTTGAAGGATGACTTCAAAGTGACCTCCACTCTGAACAACTATTCTGTTGTGTTCTTTTTAATTATCTGTGATCCAGAACAGAAATAATTTCTGGCAACAAGCGGTGTGACACAATCTGTCATCTTGTCCAAACAGTTTCTCAGGCAGGATGTAATACCGGCCCTTCCGACAGGCTCTGTTCATTACCATATTATAATTAAGACGATAAACTTCAGCTTAATAAACACAAGGTGACACTTATGCTTCTGTGTTGGTTCTTGTTCACAACAACCTCCCCCTGAAGACCCACATGTCCTCATGAATATTTAATATTTAACTCAAACAATTTTGTTATCTTTTCGCTGTTTCGCACACATATAGGTCCTCTGACCTTTCTTCCCGAAGCAGTCGGGTTCAACATTTAATTCAATAGCAGATACTAGACATACAATCTTGTAAGAGAAGTCTTTGCTGCACGAATGCTGACTTCTTCTGCTTTGGTGGTTTATCTGACACACTAAGTTCTGGGTCTTATAATAGAAAGTAAGTATTCCTAAACAGGGCCATGAGCCAACTCAGAAGGTCAGAGGGAACAAGTCTTCACTTACTATCAGTGTTATCTCAGAGCTCTTTGCCAAGTCCCTGGGGTTGAATCTGGCAGTGCCCTGTAGCTGTGTGTGTGTGTGTATGAGGGGTGTGGTTCAGTGGCTGCCTGAGAATATCTGCCTTATCAATTAGATTAGCTGCTATGTGCCGCTGACGTGGCCTGTGTGTGTGTGTCTGCCTCACAGCAGCACATGCCATCATAAAACTCCAAGCTGAGATTCTCCGGAGCCGTGTGTGCATCTTTGTGTGGGAACATGCAGTGGTACAACATTATGCTTGCTCTAGTTGTTTAGATCAACACAAATGCTATTTTTAGGAAGGCTGCCTTTGTGTGATGTTTGTGTGATATGTATACGCATATAAAGTATATGAATTGCAGACAAAATATCTGACAAGAAGTATTCCTCTGATAATAAATAGTTGTATACAAATAGAAGCTGCTTAGGTGAGGGGAAGTGGTTTGTCAAAATCACAGCAGGCTATATGCTTGCATGCATCTGTTCGTTGCTATTTTGTCGTGGGAGAACAGAACAATGTTTACCTGTTTTTCCCGTCTTTCTTTTTTGTTTTGTAACATATCATTTTTATCATTGTATATACGTGTGAAAATCACCACACATGGTTTGCAAGCAATTCATATCATTTATTATAGCAACACCCATTGCTAGATGTACATCTGCAAATGGAATCTGTATGAACACCAGTGATGATGGATGTTTAGATAGCATTAAGAGGTTTTTTTATAGCAAGCTGCAGAAGATTTACATCTCAATTACCAGCATGTTTCATCCATGACTTTCAGCTGTAATCATGGTCTAATCTGAAATCCTTCCAAATCCCTAGAAATCTGCTCTATGCAGTGCATCCTCGAGGAGCACACGCACACACACAGGCATTTGTTTACTGCCTTACAGTATGTGATATGCTGGTAAATGCTGTTGGTTTTGTTTTAGGGGGTAAAGTTTACCCTCAAGTACTCAGAAAGTGCTGTATTCAACACCTGCTGTGAAAGCCCTTACAGCTGAACACACAGCAACACTCGAAGAGTAAAAAAACACATTAATTATTCATCTGTTTCTTTGAAATGCTTTTCTTTTTGTTGAAAGTAAGTCAAACACATTGGATGCCTGTAAGGCTTTGAGGCTTCCTGTTGTTCCTGAGTCTGTGGCTTGTCACTAAGCAGGCCTCCTCTAGTCACCATGGTACTGCATTACTGTTGCTATGGTTTCCTTATCTGCAGGATGTGGTTCAACCAGGCCTACCATATTTAGTCTTTTCCTCCGAGTGCCGGCCTACCGCTGATGCTGACAGAAACACAAGAGTGCACTCAGATGTCTCTTTGCTTTTCTTTTTACATTAAAAGCTGCTCCCTCTAAGCATTACAACTAAAACATGTTTATTTACTCGGTCACAGTTCTCAGAATTGTAAAGCTCCAACACAGCGTGTCCTCATTTTCATGTTGATGTTTTACAGATAGATACAAACTAATTCAAACAGAAATGTGCAGGGTATTTCCCCAACATGTGGTATTTAAAAAAACTAAAAAGCCTGAAATTCACAAACCATTCATTTCTATGCGTCGTGAGAGTAATCCTTTCATAATAACAAAGACAATGACTCCGAGATTAAATATGTGATCACGTGTGATGTAACTGTGAGATTATTGTGGATCGTTCAGGCTTGAGGATGACGTATCAAGGGTTAATCTTGGCATGTTGACAAATAACATTAAACAATGCAGTAATCCAGTTGTTTCGATCAGTGATAAAAAGCAGACCAAAGCCAAAGAAATGGGCAAATATAATTTAAAAAAGCAAACATCATTGTTAAATGTGTTTCTATACATTATAATAATACATTTACACTTGAAATACTGATCAGGACTTTATATTGCCTCAAATTGAAAGGCCAAATATAGGTCCATATCATTATTGACATTTAAGAGGTTTTCTTTGTAAAGAAGCAGTTCTCTCTCTAGTGTTTCATACAGAAGCATATTTATTAAAGATGGTTGAAGATCATTATAGTGTCTATAATAAACTGCAAGTAGATTAATATCGCTTAAAGGGGACCTATCATGCAAAATGCACTTTTGTACGTCTTTTAAACATGAATATGTGTCCCCGGTGTTCCAGGGAACTCACCAAGTGTCAGAAAACACAACCCTCTCTATTTTCCTCCATACCCAAATCTCTAAAAAAGGGGCTGCAACGGATCTGATAAAAACTGATCCAGATTTGAACACTGTCCTGACGTCAGGACGGTGGTGCTACGGCTATTGGGCCAACTCCACCAATCAGGAGGAGACAGCCACGCCATTGCCGTTCGAAAGCGCTGGATACGTTGCAGTACATATGCCAGGCCAGTAGATGGTGCTGTTCTCACAGAATCTGCCCAGAGCTAGTAATTGTCAAATTGAGCAAAATGAGGCATGGCTAAAATGCATGATCTGTTTGGTATTTTGAAAAAGAAAAAGTATAAATATGCCTTATATAGGTATGGTCCTACACTATATTATTCAAATATAGCATGATAGGTCCACTTTAAGATGTTCTGCAGGTCTACAGAACAGGTCTACGAGTACCCCGTAATTTCAATCTGTTGACATTTGTATGGCAGCCTTATCACATCGTTTAGCCTTTACAAGAGAGGCGAATCACTGCAGTTTCAGCAAGACACAAAAAATAGCATATAATTAAACTGTTCGGCAGTCACGTCTCTCCTCTACTGTGTTGGCGTGATGGGCAGGAACATGTATTAACCTTTTTCAAATGAGCTTGTGACTCATTGTAACTACATTTTGTAAAAGTAATACTTTTTTGGAATTAGGTTTATCCTTCAAGAGATTAAAGAAAAAGAAAAGGACATTTTGCTTGAGCTCCATCATGTATCATCGAAGAGTTTGTACCCGAAATATACTCAATGATATAGATTAAATATCATAGAAAAGGTCAGGCCCTTTCAAAGCTAAACTCCCAGATGATACAAGATCATTTGATTAGTGGGTTGTGCACAGTATTTTATCAGCTGCAGTGAGCCAAAGATCTGTCACGGTTGGTCACACAAGACAACAGGGTTTCGGATCCAAGTGCTTACAACGAGCAGCAGGGAGGGTTTATCGATGTATTCCAGATCAAGCCTTCACGCTACAAGAATCAGTAGATTCGATGATGGCAAGTTGGCCAGGAACAAAGATGCTGGGCTGCTACTTGTAGAGCTCTAATCAGAGGTAAAGGGGAGCAGGTTCATAATAAAGTAAAGTTTATTAAGAATAAAAAAGCTTATAAATAAGACGGTACAGAACTATAAGATAAAAATAGTCTACCCTAAAAAAAATGCATACTTACAAAGGGGGACCAATTGACTGAATCTGACTAAATGTGTCTGTGTAATCCAGGGTAGAAATCCTTGCATGTTTTATTCTAATTGACATGTGTGTGTTGATGCATGTAAATGAAAAGTATGTATGCTTTGTATACCTGCAGCCAGACTATTCTGGCTACAATATATGACTTAAATACTTCAATAGAGCTGTAGGCCTAACACTTATATATTAGATATTGCACTTGATTCAGTATGATTAATGATGCTTAGCAAATTCATATTCTGAATTGATTGAAAGAGCTCTGCTATTATCTGCTCAACACGATTATATTACACAGGGCCAAGCGAGTGTCCTGTGTTCTTCTAAAGATTTCATAAAACTAATTTGAATTTGGTTTACATGTTATATAATAAAACCCTGTGTTTGTTTAGCTCCAGCAGTCAAAAGAAAGGCAAATGCAAACAGGCTTGCATAATGAATTGGTTAGGCCATCGCTAATGACAGTAACATGGTCATCATGCACATTGTAGTGTAGGAGGGAGTGACTCACGCATGCGTATCATAGCCTCTGCTCAGCTACCGCTAAGTGACTGCTGAAAAACAAAGGCAGCGAGTCGAGGCTGCGAAATGTCATCAGTCATTTTTAAAAGAGGAAATGGACTTCAAACAATCAATGGTGTGGTTCTTTGAAGGGTGAAATAAGCGAAGTCTTATCACTGCTCTTGCTGTTTCTTTGAAGACTCTCGCAAGTGACTAAATCGGCTTTTGAGGATCCACAGGTTCCTCCTCGTTGCTTGTTTTCTGTTTTTCTTCTGTGTTTCTGGATGGATCTGGACTGAATGACAGCGGCACGGGGACTGTTGTATCGCCAGTAGCCGTCTCGCATCACGGACTTGTTTATTGCACCCAGTGGAGTGAATAATGAAGTTAGTGCTTTCTAGATAGATGATGAATTGCGAGTCAGGGGGTTATATGAAGACTTTATATCGAATGAGCATGTAGGGATTTCAGAGCCATTTTTCAACAACTTTTGTCGTTTTAAATCCTGCCTTTGAACAGACAGTTGGGTTTGGATTTTCCGTCTCGAAGAGGGAAGTTTCCTGCGCGCTCGCCTGCCGAGGAGAGGCGCTGTCCGTGGTCCTGAAGTCATTTCAACAACTCCTGTTATCTTGGCTCGTGTGACGACAACTGAACAGTTAAAGGTGACACTGTCCACCAGCAGCATCAACAAGAGTTTAATATGGTAACTCAAACCAAAGTTCATCTGCACACGTTGGCACTTTTGTTGTTTGTTGGTAAGTATAACTCTCCCCAATGTTCCAATAACTTTTTGAAATGTGACATTGCATGCCCTATTGCATCATATTTTCACTTACACAGATGCGTAGGATAATAATCCTGGGCCTGGTTGATGGTTTGTGAACTCTCCAACTGACCCTGAACTCTAAACCCACTTCCAAAGCAGTCCCACTGCCGCCTGCACAGTGCAACACGTCAGCACACGCGAAGTAAACCGATGCATTTAACACAAGGGTTAACCTTTTTCCCTTGTCTTTTTCCTCTCTCTAGTCTCCTCCCCATCTGTCTTGATGTTTATTTGCCCTCTTTTCATGTGTTTGCGTGAGCCCTCACTGAAAAAAGAGAAAAAAAATATGAGATGGAATCGATGTTGTCACTGTCCGCCCGGGGGGGCTTTAGGTTATATAAGAGCACGGGACCCAGCACGGCATCAGTCACACAACCATGTGGCGAGATCACTCAGATTACTGCTTCACTTCACTTAACAGCAAATGTTTATGTTTATTATCCTCTCAATTATGTCCTTCCCTTTTATCCTCCACTTCCTGCCTCCCTCTAGTTATTATTTCTCATGTAATGCATTTATTCATCAACCATTTATTTCCATTATCCCTGCTTGCACACAACACTGTCCTCCTTCTACACTGCCCAGTGTTCTTCATCCAACACTCCCTCCCTCCATGTACTCCTTCTGCTAGATAATACTAATGGGCAGAGGCCATCATTAGTGCTTACTGGTCTGGATGATCTTGGATTTTCCATCAGTATTGTGACTCAGGTCTCTCCAGTGCTCAGGGAGCTGTATAATTAAATGTGTTGCTTTTTAACGCTTACTGAGTTTTCACAGCTTGCCAAAGGTTGGATTTGTTGTAAGCACAGAGTTCAAGTGCTGATAATCTCAAGAAAGAGGCCAAATCTATACAGTTAGAAATGTGCCTGTCAGTGTGCATGGTTGTATTTTCACAGTCATTAAATTAAGCCAATTTCACTGGCAGTTTGTTATATAACAACATGTTTTAATCCTACCAAGAAGGGACATGGGGACTTATAGCTTTGTCTCTAGCACACTTTGAAATTCTCTTGTATTTACAACATGCCCACTCTGAGGCGGCCAGTTTGGTTTAGTGAGTAATGAAAGCTCAACAGGAAAACTACTTAAATAAGTTGTTTATACTTTTTATTTTCCATTTGTATTTACTGAAAAACTAAACCTTCCTTTTAAAGCTTCCCTCCAGAGACCCATAAACATACACTGACTCGCTTTTCGTAAGGTTTTATCTACAAAAACGTTATGTTAACTTGTTAAAAATGGTGGCATGCATTGCTTTCCCCACACTGATACATCTTTGAATATGTAAATATTTGTTTTATCTCCAGGATTCCAAGTTTATTAGGATGGCTCCTATCTCACATTTAGTTTGAGAACAGATACACTTCTCCCTTCAGCAAACAAGTGTGCAAACATCCTCTAGTGTCAGACACCATAAATACATCTTTCTGCACAGTAAAGCTGAAACATAAAGTAACAATAAGCAAAACAGTTAAGAGGCACTTACATTTTTTGACTGAGCTTTCCTCAGAGTCGCGACTGAGTTTAACATGTGTGATATTTTGATGCTCCATCAGTCCATCTGAGCCAGCCAGTATGTGTCGACATCCCGTCGGAGACTAATGCAGTCCTGGGGAAACCCATGAAGTTGACTTGCATCTACTGTTTAACGAGGGACGAGCTAAAGTCGAAGACATGGGTAAATTGGTACTACAAGCCATATGAAGAAAATGACATCCCTCCTGAGAAGACTCATGTAAGTTGCTGCTACATTATTTTTTATAATGTGATGTAATGTATATGTTTATACTAGTATGTCATATCATTTTCGATGTATTTATTGCATGACTGCTTGTCTTTCCTCTCTCCTAAGATATTCAAGTTTGATATTGACAGTCCAGTAGATTTGGATGGACCATATAAGGGCCGTCTGAGATGGGATGGGACCCAGGACTTGCAAGATCTCTCCATTTCCATCATCAACGTCACCTTTAATGACAGTGGCGTCTTTGAGTGCAACGTAATACGAGAGTTTGTGTTTGACTCCTTCAATCCCTCGGTCTCAATCACCAAGGAAATCAAGCTGACAGTGAAAGCAGAAGGTGCGGCTAACAGTTTCCTACTTTTTCCCACATTCTTCCGCCCTGTTCTGTGCTCAGGTTTAGCCTTATGCTTGTTTGCCATTTCAGTACAACTGAGTGTTCGGTCTAGCTGGGGTTCTGTGTCGAGACATATCAGTTCAGCAGGGTTATTTCAGAGCTGCACGTGATGTTTTTCAGACCTCAGACTTGTGTTTGCCGTTTAGTGATTCTCAGTCAGTGGCATGCCCCCGTGGTGATACTAAAAATACACATTTGTCCCAAGTGATGTACAAGATAAATCTGACACACAAGTTGTGTTTTTTTAAAGTGTTTTCCCCCAATGTACTGCATCACAAATAAGTCTTATTTCAACATTTTAAAATAAAAAATGCAAGATACTTACCAACAGCCTTCAAGTAAATGTATAATTCATATTTGGCCTTAAAATAAACCCAAATCAGAGGAGGTCCAGCAGTGTTTCAGTAGTTGTACTGGGAAATGTGTAATTCATCTGGGTACAAAATATAGATATTTTAACAGATTTTTTTCTCAGAATTTAGATGCATTTCATTAAATTAGTTTTCTTTGCAGATGCAAGACTGTTTTAGTCATTATTTCCCAGCAGTACAGCCTCACCCAGTATACTGTATGCTGGAGAGGTTCGGCTCAAGCGTGTTGATTCCAAATCCCTCCTGGGAGAAACTCAAATGTACTGAGTGTTCTCTTTATGATGTACACGCCCCTCCTTTGAGGTTACATAGTTGTTTTTCTGACTTTTCATTATATATTTACAACTCATTGTTTTCACTAAGTGATGCATTAATGTGAGGCAACTAACAACACCACCTCTCTATACCCTTTGTTGCCGCTGTAGTTAAAAAGGAATAATTGTGTGTCTTGTTTTGTCTGCCTTCATTGATCATGAAAGCTTTCTTCTGTTGTCAGTGAAGGGGTTAATTCAAAGCCAACTACTTTGCTATCTATTATAAGGGGTAATGTATTCTGCTTCCCGAATGCTTGGCTTGCTGAATGTTTCATTTACCACATTGATTAAATATACAATACAACATGTATATTTGGAACTACTTTTCGAAAATGATACCTTCTTGCATGTGGTATATAGTTCACTATCAGAGGCATTGGAATATAGGCCGACTAGTTATCCCAGTGTTTGCTTTAAACTGGAAAAAAAGATGGGTGCAAATTTGATGTGCTTATCCTCTGAAGTGCAACTTTCCAAAATATACTTATATGTGGTCTTTTATACATATCAAAAAGCCTCTCCTTCACATCTCAAACAACTGTAGCACCACATTTCACAAAGCCTTGAGCCAGTGTACTGTACATTAAAGCTTGGGAATCATATTACTCTAATGATGTAGTGGTAGAATGGATTAGCTTACGGAAAACGTATCGGCGCTTTCCCATCTACATTACACTTAAAAGGATTATATTACACTAATAGCCTCTATTTGCAGAGACTGCAGAATCAAATCAGTGAAAGCTGTAAACAGTCAGGTCAGCAGGCTTTCTGGAATTTGGTGCACGCACTGGCATAGTGGTTCACAGTGAAATATAATGATCGAGAAATGAAAGATTTTGAAGGATAGGTTACATTTTTTCAAAGTCATGCTCACATTGTTTTATTGAAACATTGTTTTGGCTTACTGTTTTCATTCCTCTTGCACGTACGGGCCATTTAAAATAATAGTGATCGAAAGAATCCACAGCCTTCTTTTGCAAAAAAACATTTAAAAGTTTATACAAAGTAAGAAAGCTTAAGCCTTCTTCTAAAATTGGTCTTTAATTCCCTCTTATACTATTTTTGCACTACATCTTTGTGGAACCAAAAAACGTATTTAGTACTAAAAAGAGTGTAAAAAAGTGGATTTTTCCCCCCGTCCTCTGCACTGAAAGCACTGTTTCAATGTTTATAAAGCGATATGAGCATTGTTCGAAGACACAATTGAAATAATGTGGACTAATTGAATACAATGTAAAGGAATTTTTTAATAAGTCATACATTTGTTTACATAAAACCAAATGATGAGCTTTAATATGAAATGTGTAATGCACTGAGAACCATTCTGACTTGACATATCAATCGTAGTTCATATGTAAGGGTGCCCTGTGGAGTTTTGACTATCGGCAGCTCTTTGGGGCAATGCCTTTACGAGTGGGTCCCTTTTTTGTTTGTGCACGTGCATAATGATGCTACTGCACCCTGATGTTAGTTTCACGCCATTCTACTGACTGACAGTTGGTGAATCCAATCGTAAGAAATACAGCAACAACAGCAGTAAATAGCTGCTAACAATCAGACAAAGGCGGAAACATCGCATGATTTAAAGCATTTTTATAAATTGGCTCCTCAAAGTTAACAGGGAAACAAACAAAAAACGATCTGGTACAACTTAAGGAAACACACAATGTATTCCGATAAGAAACACACAATGTAAACATACATTTAGTTGTTTACTAGAAAACTCCACAGGGCAGCTTTATCCCCCCCCAGACTCTATTGTCATTGTGGTACAGGTATGGTCATAATGTTCTGTATGCAACATAGATTCTCTTCAAACAGGATGCACCCCAGAAAACCCGACCTTGCTTTGCTTAAAGGTCAGATGCAAAGTAGGAACTTTTGCACGTATTGAGTTGGAATTTGACTGTTATAAATATGGCCTTTTCTTTTATAATTGACAGTGGGGGGCCTGCAGTGTTGCAAATACACAAACAAGCTTAGCACTTTCCCAAACCAGTAAATGCATAATCATCTCCCCTGCTACCTTTAACACAAAGACATTCATAGGAATGATGCGCCCTGTATAATACATCTTACTTTCTCGTATTGTTTGTGCTCCCCACAGCCCTTAGAGACTCCGCAGCGATCTACTCTGAGATCATGATGTATTTGCTGCTTGTTTTCTTGACCTGCTGGCTGCTGGTAGAGATGGTCTACTGTTACAGGAAGATCTCCAAGTCTGATGAGCAGGCACAGGACACAGCGTGAGTCTCACACAGACACAAAAGCATTCAAGGTTCAAGGTTCAAGGCTTTTATTGGTCATACGTACATAGCTACTGTTTAGTTATGACGATGAAAATCTTAGGTCACAGGCTCCTCCAACAGTGCAACACAATAAAACAGAAAAAATACAAAAAGAAAAACAGTAAAAAAGTGAAATAGTGAAATAGGTAAGTGATAGGAATATGATGTATTAGATCAATAATTTCTAAATTGCAGCCAGATGAATTTTATGGATGTTGTTTCAAAATTGGAGGTGTTTAGCAGTCTTATGGCCTGTGGGATGAAACTGTCCCTCAGTCTGGTGGTTTTAGTCCTGATGCTGCGGTACCGCCTGCCAGACGGCAACAGACAGAACAGTTTGTGGCTGGGGTGATGGGGGTCTTTTGTAATCCTGAGGGCTTTCTTCCTGAGCCGCTGGGAGTAAAGATCCTCCATGGATGGCTGCTCCGTCCTGGTGATGTTCTGTGCAGTTTTCACCACCCTCTGTAAAGCCTTACGATTGAGGGCGGTGCAGCTGCCGTACCAGGCCGTGATGCAGCCAGTCAGTAAAGTGTAAGTCGGGGTACCACTGAAAGCAGCTAATTGAAAGACTGCATGTCCTTAAAAGCAAACCTATTGTAAAAATGTCCAGATAAATATCTGTACCAAGTTCTCAATGACGCTCAGCACAGCTAGGCAGTGAGTTCACATGATGTGTCACCAAGACAGTGTGTGACAAATAAGTGTCTGGGTGTTACATAACGTTACGTAATTTATAAAAAATATCTGAATGAGTGATTTGTGAGGCAACTACCAGGCAGAGAGTGTAGAACAGAGGAAAGATACAAGTCAGACAATCAGGAAAATAAATCAGTTTATAACCCTCCTGTACAGTAATCTGACTTGTGTCAGTGTGAATAAGTGTAAGAACTGCTGACTGCTGTTTCTAACAACCTTTTTACATCAGCGGTGGATTTGTAGCTCCATCGGAAAGCCACTTTCTGTGTCACCTTGAATGTACTGAGAAAGACCCGAATGCGCCTGTGAAGTCATCTCCCACTGGACTGCCTTGTGGTTGATGAGGGCAGTCAATCCACGTTGACAACTTTTAAACAGGCAATTTATGTCCCAAACAAAACCAATCAAGGATAACACAGAGCACATGTGCTGACGCAGTTATTATGGTTATATGAGTCCTGCAGTGATTGATTCAATCCCATAATACAGGCGAGGACAAAAAACAACACAATTGAAAACATTTGTGTATAGTCCTTTATTTTACTGCTCCATAATATAATACAACATTTCCAGGAACATTTCCAAAAAACTGATTTTTGGTTAGAATTCTTGAAAGAAAATCGATTATCCTGGAAAGAAAACCTTAATTTATGCATTTATTATTTGTAAAATAATTATTTGAATAATTGAGTAACTGATAAAAAAACAAAAACACGTGTCCACTATTTGATAATTGAATGAAATATAATAATAATTGAAAATATTTAACTTTTTGGTCATCAGTCAAAATAAGTGTTTTCCCCACGGCTCTGTGGTGAGCATGTTTCAGTCATTTTTGACATTTAAAGACAAAGCCAATGATCATTAAAGAAAAACCAATAAATGTATCAATGATAATATCTAAGTTGCAGCACTAGTTAAGACCTGAATCAATGAAACTGAAGAATTAACTGAACCAGCTTTTCTTGTAGATTGGGTCTTACTGCGTTTTTCATTAATGTGTAAGCGGTATGGATTAATTTGTCCCAATATTATGTTAAACAACAGTAGTTTTGTGAATTATTGTAATAATTCCTCAAGCAGCATCAAAAATATATTTGCATTTTGTTTATAAAAACAAGTTTGTATAGAGCAAGTTGAAATGAAGTTAAGCCGAAAAAATAAATGCGAGTTTTTAAATAATAAATAAAAGCCTTGGAAGGTAATCATTTTGTGGCAGATCAAGTCCGTGAGGGGCTGCTGAGTGAATGTATTTTAAAGTATAATTCAGCCCTCAGTATTTATTGATCCGAAAACAGATCAGGATTGAACATTATTTTAAGCATTAAATAAACGAATGTTCGTAAATCTATATCATTCCTCAGTTCCTGCATTGAAAGGGTTAATGGGATGTGTCCGGCTCACAGCTGTTATTGACCTGCATCACAGCACATCCCACAGTGAGAGCTGCAGCACACCCACTCAAAGAGGGTGTTTTGTTGTTGGCCTCTCAGCCGTCCCTGCTTAATGGATACGTACCATAGCTAGACCATTTTTAGGGTTACATTTTGTGATAAATGAGTGACTCAGATCATATAAGTCATGTTACCAAGGGATCTGTCCCTTGGTAACATGACTTATATGATCTGAGTCACTCACAAGATATAAAACGAGGCTCTGTTTGAAATGTGCATGATTTCACTTTTATGAATTGTGCTTCCTCTACACAGTTCTGTTGAATAGGGTGCATATTTGGTGATGGTGTTGTGGTTTTCAACAATATGAAAGTTGCTGTTAATACTAAATGAGGCCGTCAGTCTTCCTGATGCACAACCCGCACAATAGCTCCCACTGCTCACATCACACTGATGGTTTTTATCTTTTACAATTCATTTCCTCTGGGAGTGTACATTGTTATTGCATCATGAATAAGGTACAATATGAATGAACAAAAGCCCAACACTCTCAAAATGAAGGGTCATGTTGTTCCCAGTCAATGCTGTTTAAACCTAAATTCACACTATTATTTTGCATAAGGCCCTACCACCAGGTCTTAGACACTCCTCTGTTTTTCTACCAATTTGCCTGCAGGACAAACTACCTAGCCATTCCCTCTGAGCAGAAAGACAACCCAGGCGCTCCTGTTACCAAATAAAAGCAGTTGTCAATGACACGGTATTTTACATGTGACTCTCTCAACCTGATCCCGATCAGTGAAACCATCCCCCTCTCTTTCAACCCATTGTGTGTGCCTTTAGTCCTCATAACTGTGCCGATCTGTAGTGGAGTCCTGTTGCTTTAACACCCCCTCTTGCTTGTTCCATTCAAAAGGGCTTTCATTTTTGACATTTTTAGAAATGTCACCTGATCACAAGCCCTCCATTCGCATTCAATCTCCATTCAATGTACAGTGTTTCATTTAACAATTCTATATGAGCATGACCATTTCAAATACAGGCAATTCAAACACAGTCCCCTCGGGCGCTGACCTGCATAGTGAAGATAGTAAATTATAGCAATCTAAAGTGTATGGCATTTGCATGTTTATGAAATAGACTGCTGAATTACAATAATCCGGATGGACCTAGTTGTTGATTTGAATTTGATTATGGTGAGTTTCTATACTGTTTATTATTTCAGACAGGACAGGTTATTTAGCATATAAATCATTCTATGTTGAATAAGATTGAACCTGTTCTCTGCTCTTTTCCAGGTATTAATCATGATGGGCTTCGGTGTCATGTGACAGAAAATATATACCACAACCTCATCTTTGCCACTATGAAAGTACGACTTTCTCAGACACAGGAATCCTGCCAGCCGACCGCCCCTGTGTATCGACTGTGTTATGCTAAGAGTGAATAATGTCCAAGTGCTTCATTTGTCTCCTTCTGTTCCACTTTTTTTTGGTTTACCTTCTTGCCAGGTTTCTGAAAATAAGTGCTTTCACAAAAACAGAAGGTTAAGGAACAAAAATGTAAGGGTCCTGCACTTATCATCAAATAAATATCAGCCAGTGCGTAGAATTAGGGAATTGTCTTAGTAGTTAGCCTCTGTGATTTCTAACCTATAACAGAAAAGATCCAGTGAAGAAACTGTCCTACTGGTCGAAAGTTTATAGACCACGCTTAGGTTTTAAGTAGTATTTTGATTGGCCAATATCTTTCTCATGTTTTTTTATGAAAATGGTTTGCATAGCTTTTATACTGTATGGCTGTGCATCTTCCCTGTTTTGCTGAGTACATCAGTGTAATGGAAAAAATGAAAGGCGTTGAATTGACTCTTATTTGAGTTCATTTGAATTAATCAGGAGATCTTTCCTGTAGTTTTCTTCCTCTGAATAGATCTTGTTCAGCACAAGTTATTGCAAGCAATTTCTCTAAAAGCTTTGACTGTTGCTGGTGGTCTACAAATCATTGCTATTGAGACTGAATGTGTGCCTATTTTATAGTACAACACTGAAGAAGTGTTTTAAAATGTTTTTGATTCAATCATACCACGCTGTTCTTTGTCCATTACAGATATGTGTGTATGAGCTGCTATTGAACGATTAAATTCAATGCATTCCACATCCTGTGTTCAATCTCTTATGTTTATTGACAAGTTTGTACTTCTGTTTATGTGCCGATGCCTTTTGAAATTGTAGAACTGGATGAGTCAATTTTGATGTTGAGAAGAAAATGCAGTATTGACTTGCTCTGTATTGTTTGTGACTGCGGTATACTGTTGAAAGGAAAGCGTGGGCTTTAATTAACCACAGTATGGATCACTGTTGTTTAGCTCTCATTAACAGCACAGAAAAGCAGCTAACGAAAAAATACTTTTGATTAGTTTGTACTGAAAGTAAAAGTCAGTATTACTGATCTGAGATCAAGTATTGTATAGCTGAGAGTTATATTCAGTGTGAGCAGAGCAGGTCCTGATAAGCAAAGCCAGAAAGGCTGTAGACGACAAAGAAAGATGACAAAAGGTGAAATCAAGAAGAGATAAAGGGGGAAAAGACTGGCAGTTATCGGGAGATGTGATGTATGTTGCTATTCCATTCCTAGCCGTGACCCACAGCAGTGACAGATATAGCAGCAGCTGTTGTTATAGCAACCCAGGCTTGCCTGTAGCAAGGCAGAATGCCTGGCAGAGATATTTCCCTGTGATAGTTTAGACGCATTCATTTATTCACAGCCATAAAAAAAATGTACAGCTTTATTTCTTACTTTGGACAAAACATAAAGTAGCCACCAGTCCCCCAGCATGCTTTATACACCAGGCTGGATGTCATAGAAATGCCTCCACAAACCCACTGAGGAATGGTATTTTGTCTGACTAGCAAATAAGTAATGTAAAAAGTGCAACCTTTATCCATCCATCAACTTCACATAGATTGGTTATTGATTGTGAGACACATCCCATAAACTCTGCAACAATATGGCATTATTGCTCTGAAGTGCCATTCCGTAACCCTCCCCCTCCTCTCGCTCTCGCTCTCGCTCTCTTTCCTTCCTCTCTCTCTCTATTGTTACAATGTGCCTCCCAGAGGATACAACCCAGTAAAATGGCCCACATTCTACTAATGTAGGTTTCAATTAAGCCACCAGGCCCAACTGCCTCTGTGGTCTGGTAAGCATGTAAAGTAACACCCCTCAAAAGGCTTGGATTAGACATGACTGCAAACACTCTTTATTTAAAGCTTATTTTTCATGGTCATAATTGGCTTATCACATAGTGTCACCAATGACAGAAGGGGATTTAGTAGCTCTATATCCCCCCCCCTGAAACATCTTTTTGCACACACAGCACTTTTTCTGTTTGTTTTTAGTACACGTTGGCCTGTATTCGTGAAGCCTCCAATTTCCCACCTTTTACCTGAGAATGACTTCAAGAGTTGCAGCTATTTCTCATTCTGCTCTCATAAAATATGACATTAAATCATCACTCATGTCATCTTCAGTGCACAGTGCTTGTCCATCTATTAAGGGTCTTTGTCTCCCCCTAGTGTAAAGCATTTCCTGTCATCAAACGTTGACATGAAATCAAAGACAACCATAAATGTCAAGCCCCTGGTCAAGCAAGTCACTCAAACCCAAAATAAAAGCATGCTGTCGTACATTTATTCGATGAGGAGAGCAATTTCTGACTTGCAACAAACTGATGATGCTATTAATTTAAAAAAGAGACTGATATTTATGTTATTGATTCATGGACGCCATCTGTTGGATCGGGGGGTTGATCAGTGACGCTTGGCTGTGTCCAAAGCAGTGATAATGCAATATGCAGTTTGCTGCCAGACGCGGCAGTCACCCAGAAACACAGGTCATCGATTTGTGTTGATCAATACTCACTATATGCTAGAGCTGAGTTCTATCTGTGTGAACATTAAAGAGTTATGATTGATGGGGATATATTGATGAAATACAATAATTGAGTCATTATTATGCTTTGGTTTTGCAGCTATGATACAATAGTATGTAACCCTACCCTCCCCTCCTCTCCACTTCCCTCCTCCCCTCTCCCAGGTCCACTGTGGCATGGCTCTCTAAAGGATTATTCAAAGCATTGTACTAGACCACGCTGAAGATGAGAAGGTGTTTCCAGAGTTATTCCCTTGCCTGCAAATTTCCATTTCCTTTGGTGGCTGAGGACGAATGCAGACATTTCAAACGAGGAACCGAAATTGAATTATTTCTTCCAAGGCAGCTTTTCTGAGATAACCATAGCCACTCATAATTCTCTAATATGTCTCCCACCATTTTGTGCTGAATACTTCTGGACCGTGTCAGGGCTGTTGACTTAGACATTAAAAAGGCACAAGTGTTTATCTTAAAAAAGTCTATAAATATTTTCTCATCCTAAAAAGAATAAAATCCAATGAACAAAGGAAATCCACAAAAAGTAAACATTTAATTGGTTAATTAGTAAACTTCAATTAAACCGCTAGGCCCATCTGCCTCTGGGGTCTGCCATTTTAACTTACATCACACCAACTTGGATTAGCCATGGCAGTAAACAGGCTTATTTTTTACATTCATAATTGGCTTATCACATTTAGTGTCACCACTAGCTAGCTGATTTCGCCTGATTCCAGTCTTTATTCCAAGACAAGTTAATTGCCAGCATTCTTATGCCTTAAAAAGCATCAGAGAGGAATCCCTTCTTTGAAGAGAATACAAATAGACAATGGAAATGAGGCTATACACACATTGAAATGTATTCGCTGCATTAAACTCTATGAGCAGCAGAAAGTGTATTTCTCAAAATGTTAAAGAATTCCTTAAATATATAACTACATTTCCCAACAACTTCTGTAAGGTCATGAAGGGACACGACTCGAGCTTAAGACTGCTCTCTAATAATGAAAATAAATCATCTGATCACGTTTTGATTTCCAGCCCAGTTCGACTGAGGCCAGGCTGTGTTTTTAATTGTCAACAGCACACTATTAATAAGTCAATATTTGATTAGAGATTTACCTTTCCCCTCTGACTCATATATTCTTCAAAGTCAATGCTTATTATGGAACTAGAAACCTGCTGCCACAACACATCCCTCAAGTGTTTGTAGTGTCTTTGTCAGCTATTAAATTGCATCCGAAACAACTTTAAAGAACCTCTAGAGAACATTTCCATTTAAATTGAGCATACTCTGGCAGGGCACAATGTACAGTCCCTTTGAATTATTCCTGAGTGTCTTCGTAATTATATCAACCTTCGTGTTACAGAGCTGTTATCATCACCCTGTGGTGTCATTGGCATAAAGAAGAGCAAAGAGGTACTGTAGGTGTGTTTGATATATTCAAAACATCCCCTGACTACTAAACGAGAATATGTTATCTGGAATATTCATTTACTGTCATGCCATCCATCAAAGCTCCTTTTGAACAGAATTGGTCTATTGGGTATTTCACTTTCTGTCTCCAGCAGTACCTTTTTATTGTGGACATGTCTCACTTAAATACGCTTGCTATTACACACAGATGGGGGATATTTGTTGTGCAATTTCCTCAAACCTGCCATGACCTTTTTATTCTGGTTATTCTTTTCCTCAAATAGACAGAAAGGTTGCTTGTTTATTTGATTTGAATCCGATGCAAACTTACATTCAGCAACAGATGCAGCGAACCTTTTCATGAATATAGAATCAAAAATAATATACAATTGAACATATGGATAGTATTTCGGCTCTCCCGCTGTGCATATGGGATGTTTCCTTCATCTGTTGTGCATTTTTCCCAACAAATGACTGAACTCAAGCCTCTTTCTTTGTCTTTATTTTTACCACTTAGGTCTAACCCTCAGATGGAAACAAAAGAAAGAAAACATATCCAAACCCCCAGCTGTTTATACGCCTAATCAAAACTGAATTCATGAATTAAACAGGACCCCTTTCACAGTATACCTTCACCTTTCCTCTCTCCCATCCATTTCTCCCATCCATCATCCCATCCTCCATTTCATTCACCCGCATTTCAAACAAAGGAGGCATCTTTGATTAGCGAGACAAAGAGGGTGCCTTAAATAAAAACACCATTTACAAGTCAGACTCGGAAGCGAGGCAGTAACTGGGCCCTGTTTTCTAATTTGTGATGAGAGGATGGAGCTGGCCCGTCGCACAATGACGTCGCAGCTCTATTGTTAGTGAAATGAACACCTGGCTGCCAGAGAAGTGTTAAATCATGGCTGTGTGTTCAGCAACACCTGAGGCGCTCGACATAAAATTACACAAAGCAGAACATTACAACGCAGGCTGGCTTGTTTCAAAGGTAACTGTGCCTGAGATATTAATATAATCAATAAACAACTAGTCAATCAATTAGAGCATAACATTAACTGTGTGATGGATTAGAACATAACATTTACTGCTTGTTACTTGTTTTTCTCCAGGGAAAAGAAGCACTGAAAATGTGACATTGCCAAACATTATCCAACAAAAACGTTTTAATTGTGCTGTGTGCTCTAACATTTGGAATAGGAGAATGAAAGTCTTTAAAACATTGCCAGACTTCTTAGCTTGATGTTTAATACCTTTGTGCTGTAGCCAAGCAGCAGTTGGCTGTTGTGCTTCTTGACAGCATTAGTGAGAGACAGCCCCACTATGCCTTGTTTCCTCCAGAAACAGGATTTTAAATGCACTCTCTTCCCCCAAGTACGCTCACATACATGCCTTAGTCTTGGGTAATCATTACGAATCTTAACTTATCAGTATTCCTGGAGAAAGCCCATTAATTAAACTCTTCAATTCCCCCTCACAGCAGCAGTTTCAGGCTGTGCAAGACACAGTATTGATGAGCAAATAACAGTTGCTAATTTTTGCTGCTTCCTCATGTAAGGTGGGAGACCCTTATTTCAACATGAATCTCAGCTCTAGGAAGATACTTAAAGCCCCTTTCCACATTGATCTGGGATCAATTAACACAGGGTACACAGTACATGGGACAAATTGTCCACAGCTATAAGTTCTTTTAAATGGCAGATTATTTTCTGTGAGATTTAGAATAACTCTCTCTATTCACAGCATGGCTCTGTACTTTGATCAAGCCTTCAAGCGTATCTGGCAGAGATGAATGTGAGCATCCTCT